GATTTCCACACCCTTGGGAATTCACCCTGTGATATTGAGAGATTAATGATTTTGGTGATGGGTTTGGCAAATGCTGCACCAAGATCCTTAACCATTGTTGTGTCCATCCCAAAATCATCTTTTGCTTTTGATGGATTGAGGGATCTAATAATTTCTGTGATCTTTGATTCACTAACATTTATAAAATTGAAAGCTGGCTCTGTTTTGTTTGCCAAGCACAGATTAACCTGCTTAGCAGAAAAGCTCTGTGCAATAGTTGCTACAGAATCGACAAAGTATCGATTAAGAGCTCCAGCTACTTCAGCTGGGTCCTTAGTCAGGTTTCCATTCAGGCTAAGTTCAATTTATTTTCCTGCTTTGGTTTGTTGACCCAGGAGCTTTTTTAACTGACTCCATATTAATTTAGAATTTCCCCTCGCCTCATTAATTATTGTCATAAAAAAATCAGCCCTAGCCTTCCTCAACCCTGTTATCACCTTATTTCTTAACATGGCAAAATGAAATTTGTCGTGGAACAATTTGGTCTTAATGGCCATTTTCAGTGCGAGATCTCGCTCTTTCATCAGTTTTAAAATATCTGCATTTGTCCAGGGGAAGACTGGTAAATGATTAATTGATTGATTCATAAACAGAGTAATGACAGTGATCCCTGTTGGAGTCAGTCAGAACATTTCCATAGAGAGCCCCTTTGCATCAGCAGCACCATGCTCCAGTGCTCTGGGAGAGTTTATAGTCCTGACAGTTGAACACTGGATGACTGACAGCTGTCCTTCATCCTCGTCCTCATCATCTAAAACATGACTTTGTTTTAGATGTTCTCATCTGGACTCTCCTCCTCTGCTGCTGCTTCACAGGTAAAGTCCAGAGAATCAAACTCCTCTCCTCTATGAACATCCGTCCCTCTGAAATGAAGCCCACTAAACCCTGATGCTGCTTTCTGTTTTTGTCTCTGTATCCTCAGAGTCCAGAGGACAGGTCACAGTGACTCAGCCTGCAGCAGTCACCTCTACTCTGGGAGCCTCCGTCTCCATCTCATGTACGACCAGTCAGAATGTTTATGTCTATGACAGTAACCACTTCTTAGCCTGGTACCAACAGAAAGATGGAGGAACTCCTAAACGGCTTATATACGCTGCTAGCACTCGAGCATCAGGGATTCCAGGTCGTTTTTCAGGCAGTGGATCAAACTCTGCCTTCACTCTGACCATCAGTGGAGTCCAGACTGAAGATGCAGCAGTTTACTACTGTCAGAGTGATCACTATATCAGCAGTCAGTCGGTGTTCACACAGTGAAAAAGCGTCGTACAAAAACCTCCCTCAGTAAGACTGAACAGAAACTGAACTGACTGCTGCAGCTGGAAGTTTCTGCAGAGACTGACACACTTCACTGAAGCAGCTCAGACATGATAAAGACCTTAAAAATCAATCAGCCCTCATATTTGGTTTGGATTATAAACCTCATTGTAAACGCACTTAAACACTACACACTCTTTACAAGTTGAGGATTATGGGTCATAAGATTTTTTTTATTGGTGATAATGTGGACAAAAAAACAAACCTACAAATATTTGCACATAGAAATAACAGCAAAAGCAAAAACCAATAACCAAACTAACAAGAAAACAGAAACAAATAAGTCAAAACAGCAAAACATTAGAAAAGTCACAACACATCAATCATACAGGCGATAGATTGAAATGAGATATGGTGACTTTTGAACCTTTTTATGTTGAGGGAGGGTAATAAATGAGATTTTTAGATCTGGTGTGAGTTGCAGTTGATTCATCAAGGTCAGGAGTCAGGTGGGAAGTAAGGAGAAAACAATCTAAGAATAAATCAAAAAAATATATATGTATGAAGAAAAATGATAAAACAATCAAATTAAAGGTATAGTGTTCATGTGACCATCATAGAAACAAAGAGGAAAATATATATCCATACATACATGCACATAGGTATACACACATACATATACATTCATACACACTCATGCAATATTTGAGAAGAACTGAAAAAAGGGCAGAAATCAAACTGACTGGAGTCAGTCAGAACATTTCCATAGAGAGCCACTTTGCATCAGCAGCACCATGCTCCAGTGCTCTGGGAGAGTTTATAGTCCTGACAGTTGGAACACTTGATGACTGACAGCTGTCCTTCATCACAACAGAAATCCTCGTCCTCATCATCTAAAACATGACGTATTAATGCACTTATTCAAATAGGATCAAAGGGGAGAAATATGTGGAATGATGAACAGTATCAAGATGAAATCAAACTCAATGTCTAAAGCTAAAACACTGAGATCTTTCATCAACCAGAGACTGACTGTTACTGCTAAAGAGATATTTGATCTGTTTAAAAGAACGATAGCAGAACATGAGAAGCAATTTCGTCGATCAAAAGAGGAAAACGAGCGACAGCACAGACTGCTGGATGCTGTTTACAACACTGAAGTCCACTTACACAAATATGGTTCCGGTAGTTTATTGTTAATGTTGATTTAAAACGATGAGAAGCAAGCTACATTCTCACATAACTGTTAGATATGTTGTTATGTGCTGATTTTCTTTGGACACAGATCGGGAGTTTCAGAGGTTAAATCCAACTAAATTCCCCAGAATTAAATTATAGCAGTCCCTTTGAATTCATATCACCATGGAAACCTTTCAGTCTCACACACAATTGTCTGAGAAGAGCTAATAAGTGGATTTTGACACGCACACGGTCTGTCTCTCTCTTCCTTCCACATACACATAAAGTGAGACGTCAGTGTCTTCATTTTACATTACATTTTTACAGGTGCAGAGGGACTCTGCAGATCGAATGGAGTTTGTAAGTTCATTCCACCACCGGGGGGGGCAGCAGAGGAGAAGAGTCTATTTAGCATCTTAGGACCCTGTTGTGAAGGTTGAATCAGACGCCTTTCATTGGCAAAGCGTAGTGGGCGGGAGGGAGTGTAGACCTGGATTATAGAAGTAAGGAGGAGAAGTTTTTGTGACTGTTTTGTAAGCGAGCAGCAGAGTTTTAAATTTGATGCGAGCAGTAGCTGGGAGCCAGTGGAGGGATGTGAACAGCGGAGTGACGTGCTCTTTTAGGAAGGTTGAAGTCGTGCTGCTGTATTTTTTATCATCTGCAGGGGTTTGATAGTGCATGTAGGAAGACCTGCCAGCAGAGAGTTGCAATAGTCGATGTGTGATATCACAAGAGCCTGTACCAGGAGCTGTGTAGCGTGTTCTGACAGGTAAGGTCTGATCTTCTTGATGTTGTACAGGGCAAATCGACTCCATTTGTTATAGGCTACCAGCTTCCCTGACTTACGAGTTTAAGATAAAATATGCATGTGAGACAAAAGTTGAGAATTTAAGCTTTTATTTCCTGGTATTGATATCTATATACATTAAAAACTTAGGACAAAGCACCTTAATATTACCAGAATGCTCCTCATGTTTACCACATCTATATAGCAGAACATGTTTTAATTTAAACTTTTGTTTCATGTGCATCTTTTGATCTTAAAATGTATTCAATGTATAACAAAAACAAAGGAATTAGCCTTGTTGTTTTATAGTGGTGGAGGTACTGTATCTCCTCCTTACTTTTTATTAAGATATCATACAAGCGTATAAGCCTATTATTTAACATTTTCAACCAGCAGCATATTAAGCACACTCTGGCATTTGCGATCCAGTTTTGTCTCTGTAGTAGCCGTAACAAAGCCCTTTCTATTTTATTCCTCATCAATAATCCTGGTATTATTGCTCAACTACTCTCCTTATACTTGGACAAACTACGGGAGGACGTTTTTGCTGTCTAATCTCATTCTCATTCTATTGTTATTGCTTTTAACTTCAGATGAAGTGGAATCAGAGGTGGAGGCTTCAGGACCACAACTCACTGTAGAGGCATTTCTACAGTGGATAACGGGGCAAGGCCACGTTCCTGTCCTTCAGGAGGAGAAAATGAGGTTCAAAGTGAATGTGAAGTCTGAGCATCACTGCGAGTCACATTTTGGGGAACACAGAATATGTTATCCAAATGTCGCTGCTTGCATTAAAACCATCACCTTCCCTGTTAAACACATGACTTCCTTCAAAGATTTTAAAGAAGTCCTGGTTGAGGCATTCCATCTAGCGCAGGAATTTTCTAAAGTGTAGACCAGTGTCAGCCTACACTGACTTTTAATTTCTTTGAGGCAGAATTGTTTTACAGCACTTTAAATGTTCAAGCTGTTTATAGTTTTTAACATTTTAAATAGTTTTATATAATGGTTAATTAGTTCATTCGGCAAAACAGTCATTCATTTAATTATTTGGGTATTTGAAAAGGGATAATACGGCTGAAACAACGCACACTGAGAAAAACACGCAGCATATTTAGAAACACTGCACATTCTAAAGAAAATGCACAAGTCCAGAAACAAATGCAACGGCTGAAAGGTGCCACGGAATCCACACTCAGCTGTCTCATCCTCAACGTCAAAATCCTAGTGTTTCAGCCGTTGCAGAGAGTGTGACCCCATCCCGGCCAGCGTAGGATAGTGTTCATAAGTTAACATTAAAAAAAAACTATTCCCATGTAGAATGATGCCAGCAGCATGCTTTATAGCTAACATAACCTCCTCCTCTTCAACCAGTTTAAATAAGTGTCAGAGCGCCTCAAAACATGTGTGTGAAGTTTCTTGTTCTAAATGTAATGAGCTGTGTCTGACCACGCCCCCTCTCTGGAAGTTATTTCTAAAAACTGTAGTTCTTTGATGTTCTGTTTGTGTACTCCTTTCTTTTGACAACTTTCTGTTCTGTTCTGTGATGTATTGATTTTTCATTGAGCACCATACCACACTAAAAGGATAAGGTGTTGGCTTTTCCTTTCTGCACTAACAATTATTTGTACGTTTCTTTACAAATATGGATTTGTTCTTAACTTCCAGTAAAATATAAACATTTAAGTAACATTGTAACATAAGTGTAACATTGAAACCCTTATTAATATAGTCAATTCAATTCAATTCAAAGGGGCTTTATTGGCATGAAAGTAACTATAACAACGTTGCCAAAGCATAAAAATACAATTTGTCAAAATATTCGGACAGTCCACAATAAACAGTAACATGAACATTAACACAACATTAAGATTGATTTATAGGAATTATATATACAGCATATAGTGTGTGTGTGTGTGTGTGTGTGTGTGTGTGTGTGTGTGTGTGTGTGTGTGTGTGTGTGTGTGTTCTTGATCCCCAAACTTAATAACACTATATGCACTATAGAGGCCTCTAACTGACATAAAATGACCGTTCACTGAAACATTTGAAGACAGTGGTAGTAAATGTCTCGACCATGGTTGTCAGATGATGCTGTAGGGTCCACAGCAGCTTGAAGGTCTGCCACATCTTGGTCACTTAGAGGTGAGGGGAAATCTGGGACCATAACCCCACATTCTGGAAGGTGCTCATGACTGTGAAGGGCACTCTCCTAGTCAATGTCAAGTTCTTGCTAGGATTCAAACAAACAACTTTACTTTGACAACCCTTGTTTCAATTAAGCAAAAGTGTATGTTGGCCAATTCCTATGACTGGCCTTGTTGTTTCAGTTGTTGAGAGGACTGTATGTTCAACAGAGATAAATGCAGTAATGTAAGCATGCACCTCAACATTATCAACCTCGGCTGTGCTGTTTTGCAGCAGCCCCATTTGCCACAACTGCTGAGGGGTCATGTTTCCTTCTGTGCGGAGTGGGTGATGGTTCCAGCCCTCAGTGAAGGTTTGAAGGTCACTGCGTAGACGAGGTAGGAACACAAAATGCAGCAGGAAGATGTGCAACATGTTTGAGATGTCTAGCAGTCCCTCTTCTTCGAGACTGTGCAGCACATCATAATATGTGCTTGTTACTGTGGTCCACACATCCCTCCAAAGCCGCTCGAAGAAAAAAAAAAACAATCACAGTTTTATCTGTTGAGACATTGCATCAAATAGCATCATTTGGAATTTCTCTGTCAGGGTCCAGTACAATGTCAGACCAGTATGATCACTGTGCGTATGATCACTGTGTGTGTATGAGCACTGTGCGTATGATCACTGTGTGTGTATGATTACTGTGCGTATGATCACTGTGTGTGTATGATCACTGTGCGTATGATCACTGTGTGTATGATCACTGTGCGTATGATCACTGTGCGTATGATCACTGTGTGTGTATGATTACTGTGCGTATGATCACTGTGCGTATGATCACTGTGTGTATGATCACTGGGCGTATGATGACTGTGTGTATGATCACTGTGCGTATGATCACTGTGTGTGTATGATCAATGTGTGCCTATGATCACTGTGTGTATGATCACTGTGTGTGTATGATTACTGTGCGTATGATGACTGTGCGTATGATCACTGTGTGTGTATGATCACTGTGCGTGTGATCACTGTGTGTGTATGATCACTGTACGTATGATCACTGTGTGTGTATGATCACTGTGCGTATGATCACTGTGTGTGTATGATCACTGTGTGTATGATCATTGTGTGTGTATGATCACTGTGTGTATGATCAATGTGTGCCTATGATCACTGTGTGTATGATCACTGTGTGTATGATCACTGTGTGTGTATGATCACTGTATGTATGATCAATGTGTGCCTATGATCACTGTGTGTGTATGATTACTGTGCGTATGATGACTGTGCGTATGATCACTGTGTGTATGATCACTGTGCGTATGATCACTGTGTGTGTATGATCACTGTACGTATGATCAATGTGTGTGTATGATCACTGTGCGTATGATGACTGTGCGTATGATCACTGTGTGTGTATGATCACTGTGCGTATGATCACTGTGTGTGTATGATCACTGTGTGTATGATCAATGTGTGCCTATGATCACTGTGTGTATGATCACTGTACGTATGATCAATGTGTGTGTATGATCACTGTGTGTATGATCAATGTGTGTGTATGATCACTGTGTGTATGATCAATGTGTGCCTATGATCAATGTGTGCCTATGATCACTGTGCGTATGATAAATGTGTGTGTATGATCACTGTGTGTATGATCAATGTGTGCCTATGATCACTGTGTGTATGATCACTGTGTGTATGATCACTGTGTGTATGATCACTGTGTGTGTATGATCACTGTGCGTATGATCACTGTGTGTATGATCACTGTGTGTATGATCACTGTGTGTGTATGATCACATTGTGTGTATGATCACTGTGTGTGCATGATCACTGTGTGTATGATCACTGTGCGTATGATCACTGTGTGTGTATGATCACTGTGTGTGCATGATCACTGTGTGTGTATGATCACTGTGCGTATGATCACTGTGTGTGTATGATCACTGTGTGTGCATGATCACTGTGTGTGTATGATCACTGTGCGTATGATCACTGTGTGTGTATGATCACTGTGTGTGCATGATCACTGTGTGTGTATGATCACTGTGTGTGTATGATCACTGTGCGTATGATCACTGTGTGTGCATGATCACTGTGTGTATGATCAATGTGTGCCTATGATCACTGTGCGTATGATGACTGTGCGTATGATCACCTTGTAAACAGGGTGCACAGCAGGCAGCTGTCGTAGAGTTGCCACACAGAACACCTCTAAGACCAGGTGAGTCCTGAGCAGGTGAGACAGCAGCTGGAACGCCTGGAACTCAGAGTGACGCACCCACATCTTGGCCAGCAGCCAGGTGAGGGGCGGGTTTGTGGGCAGGAAAATGGGCGTGTCCAAACCGGGAGTCTGCTCCAGCTAAAGAAACAGCAAAAGAGATGTTTAGTGTTGGAGAGGCCTTTGATGATCAGCTGTTTGTTTTGACATGTAGAAGAAACACCTGTATTCATGGTTAATGTTTGATCTGCTCAGAGGTATTTCAGTACCCTCACCAACGTTTAAGGATCTTTCACTCAAAATTTGTTACGTTCATTTGAATGTTTTCATGATATATTCTCTGAAGAGGTGACCCCATAGTCTCAAATCTTTGACCATTCGTTGGTCAGACCTCAGTCGACCGCCAGTCTTAAAGTCGAGCATGAGGATCGTTCCATTCCAGGTACATGGGGGTGTTTAATGTCTAACTTTACATAGATGTGTCTGTTTTCTCCAAATAATTCATGGCTCATAGCCTCTCTTGGTATAAATATCTCTTTATTAATACTTTTAATGCGGTTCTGCAAAATATTGAAAGCAGGCGCTGCCAGAAAAAGAACGCTGTCTGTGGACACGCCCCCTCACAGTATGATGATATGTCTGAGGATGATCTTCTGTGTTATAAAAACATTGTTCAGGTTTACATGAAATCTCCGTCAGTCCTTCAGTGCGACTCTGTGGTCACGAGGAGAGGAGTCATTTACCTGTATAGCAACAGGTATGAGTCCCTGGTCCGGGTGTTGGTACAGGAGGCAAAGCGGAGCAGCGATATGCTGACGTGTACCTCAGATCGTGTTGGTCTGTGATGGCACAGTCCAACAGGTAGCTATTACCTGCCTGAGAGGAGGCGGGGCATTAAGAACAATGATACGGGTGATGTAAACATTAATGAGTCCTGTACAGGTGGTTAAGAACAGATTTAGTTTTCTCCACCTTCAGTTCTCTGTCCAGGTGAGTCCGGGGACTCATGGAGCTCTGCACCATGTTCGCTGTGATGAGGAAATTCTCGACGGAAGGAAGCTTCTTACACCTCTGGATCAATCTCGGGTTGGAACCGTTCATACACTGATACCCAAAGAACCAGTCGTCCCTCCAGTGCTCCATACAGTACTCTGACAGACCACACACACACACACACACACACACACACACACACACAAACACACACACACACGCACGCACGCACACACACGCACGCACACACACACACACACACACGCACATACATACACACACAGTGGATTTGTCTAATTTCTTGTCCTCAGGTTTAGTTGGGAGTGAGTGGTCAGTGTTTATTTACCAGCTACGGGACTCCGAAGCTCCGAAGTTCGTTCCAGGACTTTCCAAACCTGATGGCCAGTTTCTTGAGAGACAGCTCCAGCAGGCTGAGAGGGGGACGGGGGAGAGAGAGGAGGTAGGGGGTGGTGTCACTTTAATGTTATGAAGGTTTAATTAACAGGAAACCAAACTGTCACCTGGAGGTGACAGCACAAGTTTAATTCTGCATAAACAGTTTTTTGGCTGTCAAGTGTGTGTGTGTGTGTGTGTGTGTGTGTGTGTGTGTGAGACCTGTAGGCAGACTTTCTCTCCTTTAGGTCGGCCTTCCTGTGAGCGAGCAGCTGAGGGGACGAGTCGTCTGTCAGGGTCTTTGCTGATGAGGAGACAGAAACACACAGCTGTTTGTTGTTCTTATATCTAACAAGCTAAAAGGAAGGTTGCTGTTTGTTTGCTTGACTTAAGAGGAAAACAGTGAGTCCATTTATGACACGAAGTGAAAATCTGCCAAGTGGTGGACTCTGACGCTTCAGTGTTTATCCAGCTCTGCATCGGTCTGTAAACCTTTCTGCGCTCTAGAGAGACATCACACATACATTTCAACCGAAAAGGATCACCGCCATGTGATGTGGATTGTGTGTGTGTGGTGCTGTGTTGCCAGCGCCAATCAGCATTTAGATTCCCCTGACTTCCAGGATGCTTCAGAAACCTTCAATCCAAACTGTCGTTGCTTTGAGATTTTCTCCTGACGTCCTGCGCTGCATCACAGCTGCTCAAACCGAACCTCGTTCCAAAAACAAACATTTTGAACGTTCACAAATATCTTTAGAATTTAGTAAGATCTTTCTTTATAGGATGTTTCTGCTGCTTGTCCGACAGTCTAGTGTTGCTACATCTCAAAAAAGTCGAGACGCACGAGTAAAGACGCAGAAGAAGAAGAATCTGTAAATCCAAACACATCGGGATGTGAATAAATGAAAACAGAATCTGAATCTGTTTCTTTATAAAGTGTCTCTGTTCTCGTCAGCAGGAGTGAAGATCCCACCTCCAGCCTGCAGGAGGAGCTACAACCAGCGCTTCAGGAACAAGAGTCTGCAGCAGCCAATCCTGAAACATCCACAGATAAACTGCCAGGAGAAGAAGAGACGGAGGCTGAGAGAGGAGAGACAGAAGGAGCTGAGGAGGCAAGAGGAGGAGAGAGTGAAGGAGAGGAGGGGCAGGGAGTGAAGAGGAAGAGGGAGGGCGAGCAGAAGGAGGAAGAGGCGGGACAAGGCTCAGAGAAGAAAAAGGTAAATGAATAGGGAGGAGGTTCCTTTAAATGTTTTTTTAACTGCACATGGCCATATTTGGTAAAGTGGGAGGAGCCAGAAAGAGTGAAGGAACTGCTCTCGAGCTCCTCCCACTTGACACTACGACTTAAGTCATTATTATGATCGGACATTTGTCTCATGAAAGTCAAACTGAATTTTTTATATCACGGCTTCTCCGGGGGTGAGGCTTAAAAAGGAATTAAAAGCATTATCATAAACATGTTTCATCTCCCTCGCTCTCTCTCTCTCGCTCCCTCTCTCTCTCAGATGGACGAGGAGTCGATGGCGTCCATGTTGGCTGATTTCGTCGCCTGTCCTCCTGACGATGAGGACGGAGCGTCTGGATCAAACCGCTCATAGACTTGAACTGATGTTGTCGAGGTTACCATGGAGACTGTATCATTAGAGACGTTGCCTCCTCGCCACATCCTCCATCATGGTTGAACGCTCTCAGTGTTCACGTCACTTCTGTTGAGACGTGAGGCGTCTTTGTGAGTGACGTTCCATCGACCAGGTTAATAAAGGTAAAAGTAGAGTGAGGTTTAATAAAAAAGAAGACTCCTCCCACAGTCCAGCTGACTCAGTTTGTGTAAAGTCTTATTTGTACCTTTCATTATTTTTGTTTCATCACTGATTTCAAAAGTAAAATCATCCAACACGAGTGAAAACATGAAACCTGTCTCCGAGAGTTTATCTCAACCTGACGTCTCATCCTGTTGAAAAATCCAGTCACCACGTGTTCACTCCGTCACGTTAGCATTAGCAGTGTGTGTGCTTCCACACGCTCCGCTGCGTCTCCGCTCCGTCAGTCCAGAGTCCTCTGCAGCTTCTGTTTCTGCAGGATGACGGAGCAGATCGAGCGGAACAGGAAGTCAGACACAGAAACAACATTAAAACATGCTGTTTATTTTCAGAATAAAACACTTTGTGGTCACGTTTCAGAACAACGACCATCTGTGTGTTTTTTGATGTGTTTATATCAAAAACATCGTATTATCTCACGCTGTTGGGAGTGAATCTGTAGAATTACAGCGGGAACTCCTTTGTCTCGTGACTCCAGCTGTCCGGCGCCGCTGCTCCGTGCTGTGCTCTGAGAACGCCGCCTGTGGCTGTTGATGAACGAGGGAGCAGCACACGCATATCTGTTGGAAGTTCTGGGTTAGATTATAAACGTATGTAGACATGTCTCATGGTCAGGTGATCGTTAGCTCCTTATCGCATTACCTTGTGCTCTCTGTCGCTCTGCTTCACTTCCAAACAAACACAGACAGAAACATACACACTACTACTGTTTTCACATCTACACTCCTGAACATTTCTAGAGAATTTCAGGAGAATATGCGTCTTTCTATCAATGCTACAGGAAACATAATGTAGCAAGTTCATTAGAGCACGGAGATGGTAGAGGTGGCGTGCAGACAGTCTATGGTCATGCAGCGATCACAGGGAATAAACGTCACCACCCCCTCCCACTCGCTCCAGGTGAATTCTCCTGATTATATCCTGCTGCGTTCTCACATCAGCTCACTCTGACTTTCTGCAGAATAAATACAAGGAGGCTGGAGGAGAAACTCCGGGTGAAGAGAGAAACATTTCCTTATTTTGTCCTTTAGGGCTTTATGTGTGGACACAAACATCTGGAAGTGTGCGTCCGGCAGATGTCTGTGTGAGGTCACGGTGAGTGATCACATTGATCCTATATAAAGATGAACTGTGACTACGTGAGACACCATTTCCTCTGGTGTTGAAAAATGAAGATGATGCTGAAGTGTAAAATCCTGCAGTTCCTTGAGTGTCCACTAGAGGCTGGCTGCAGAAGCACAGGAAGTCACACACACTCAGGTGGCTGTGGTTCAGTTGGTAGAGTCATCATCTCTCAACCAGACGGACAAGGGTTCGATCCCCAGCTCCTGCAGCAACATGTCCAAGTTGTCCTTGGGCAAGACACTTAGCCTCGAATTGCTCCCACTGCTTCTTTGGCGGTGTATGAATCGGATTAGTTACTTCTGATGGTCTCACTACATAGCAGCCTCTACCATCAGGGTGTGAATGTGAAGGTGTGACCTGCGGTGTAAAAGCGCTTTATAAGCTCATGTCCATTTACAATTCTAAAAGCCTGTTTTTACAGCAGAGATTAACATGTTTACAGCCTGGTTCAAAAAAACAGACAGGTGCTATTAGCTCATGTCTCAATCGGCACACACTGTACAGGGGGTGAATGTTTTGATGACTCATCAGTTTTGATTTAATGAAGGATAAGAGTTATTCACATTAAGGCATGTAGCTGACCTGATTGACAGGCAGGCGCGGTGTAACGGTTTGTCAGGAGCTTTAATGTTTGTTAAAGGAATATGTTAAGACATGGGGGGGACTCTGAGACTGAGCAGTTCTTGGCAGCGTGCAGCAGTAGAGAGACTTTCTTGCATGCCAGGTGGGCAGGTCCTTTAGTGTGTGAGGTCATGTGAAAGCTCTGAGTTATTGCCTGTGGCCATGGAGCACGTTTACATTAACACATATCTCAAATGTTTCTGAGTGTGGAGAGAAACAGAGACCACAGAAGTGACTAAAAGTACAGGTCTGAAATGTCAGTTAAACTTCTGGTTTAATGAGCTGAAGATCTCTGCTGAGTGAAGTTTATTCAGTCTGACGAGCAGAGAAAGAGTGGAACTAAAATCTGACCGAAAATGTGACACAAAGTGAACATATTGAATCACATATCATAAATCACTTTATATAATATAAGTTTATTTTATTCTGAAAATCTTTGTGTGAATTAAAATCTGTGAAAGTTTTTTTCTCAGATTGTTTATAGTTTTTTCAGCTGCTCTGTTCAGAGACTGTTATCTGACACGGACAGCACACTGACCCAACTTCCTTTATGCAACTCCCTCCCTGTGTGTGTCTGTGTGTGTCTGTGTGTGTTTAAGAGAGAGAGAGGTGAGGTAACACAAAGGAGTGATTGAGCAGAGTGTGAGGAAGAGAGTGAGCAGAGGAGAGAGTTGTCCCTCACAGGAGCTTTAAAATCGACTCCTTGCTGAATTAAAAATGCCTGTCATGGTTTTGCTTTCTTGAAATGGAGGAGTTCTATGACGTTAACCAGCCAAAGCAGTTAAACCTGCTGTCTGGAGAACAGCGCTGTGTGTGTGTGTGTGTGTGTGTGTGTGTGTCTGACTGTGTGTGTATGTGGAACTCCTGCTGTGCCGTGCTTCAATGTGACCTCACAGACTGGGACACCGATATTACACCAATCAATATGAACATACAAAGACATGATGAGGGCGGAGTGTGTGTGTGTGTGTGAGAGAGAGAGAGTGTGTGCGTGTGTGTGTGTGTGTATGTGTGTGTGTGTGTGTGTGTGTGTGTGAGAGTGTGTGTGTGTGTGTGAGAGAGTGTGTGTGTGTGCGTGTGTGTGAGAGAGTGTGTGTGTGTGTGTGTGAGAGAGTGTGTGTGTGTGTGTGTGTAGCCTGTCAGGTTGTCTGATCACAGAAGAAGGTTGTGCGTCTCTGGCCTCAGCTCTAAGCTCCTCCCCCTGAGGAGAGCTGGACCTGAGCTACAATCATCCAGGAGAACGAGGAGAGAAGCTGCTGTCTGCTGACTGGAGGATCCACACTGCAGACTGGAGACACTGAGGTACAGACAGACACACAGAAGCTGTCTCACTGTTTCTGAATGATGAACTCTTCTTGTCTGATGCTGGATTTAGATGAAGATGAAGTAGATTCTGATCTGGTTTCTTTCTCCAGATTGGACCATGGTGGACTGCAAAGACTGGATCCTGGTCTGAGGAAGTTTCATTTCTATTCATCAGAACACAGTAGTTTCTGTCTAAAATGGCCAAAAAGGTCTTTTGAATATTCATTCTTAAAAAAACACATTAGTTTGAACCGTTTGAATTTATATTTTTATACATTATGTGCACAAGAGAGCAAACCAACAAAACCACACAAGTACGATGTTACAAATGTGCCTCAAAATCAACCAATCAGGAGTCAGGAAAGCTCAATTCTGATTGGCTCCTTCTTCTCCAATTAGATCACTGCTATAATATTTACATCATCCCTGAATCATTGTTTGATTACTGACTGATAACGTGTCTACCCATGTTACTGAACAGAAGAGTGCATTATCCTCAATAGTATTAAAACACATGTTTGTAAGTATTTCAATTTGACTTATGTTGGTATTTTTATGTCAGTTTGTGCTTGTATTGGGTATAGTTTATCGTTTCCTGACTCCTGATTGGTTGATTTTGTGGCACATTTGTAACAGCGTGCAAAGTTGAGCACACACGGAGTGAGCAGGGTCGAGAGAGAAAGAGAGAGAGAAGACCATTGAGCGAGTGGGCGGCGGCCTACCAGCGCACAGAGAGAGACTTTGAGAGAGAGCGCACGAGGAAAACTGAGGGAGAGATGTTGTTAAAGCACTCTTGTATGGATTGTTTCAAGCACTCAAACTGATTTAATGAACACTGTATGGATTTTTGTTTCTTCAAACTATATGATTTTTCTCTTGTATATAACTTTTATACAAAATATGATTCAAACCTCTCGCAAACTATATGTTTATGTGTTCAAAAGTGCTCATTGATCGCTCAGGAATGAGGCACAAATATAACTCTCTCTGCTCCGTGCTTTGTGTTCAAACTGAGAGCTCTCTGGATCATATAAAAAGAAAAACAACTGAACTTGTTCTGCATATAATTCTCTCATATAGCCTGTGATTATGATATTCTGTCCACCCATAGCCGTTAGAGCGTGTTCCCAGCAGTTTACTGATCTTGTTCAGCACCTGGCCCGGTGTCACTCACTCACTCGCTGCGTACTGCCACACTCACTTCATCATCTCCTCCAGTACAGCCACCTGCAGCTCCCGTTGTTGTCCCTCTTTTAAATGAACAAGACGATGGAAGTACAGATCCAGATAACTTGCTTTGTTTAGCACCATATATACTTTTATACCGCTGCTCCAGATCAGAGATGTTTTTTTCTTCATCTCTGTCACCGTATGTGGTTTGTTTGGCGTTTGCTTGTTAGAGAGCAGAACGTGTTTTAAAGATAGTACAACGCTTCTGTGGTCACTTTAAATGTTTAAGAATCTCCTGTACCTGTTGTAATTAAATATGTGTAATTATGAGGATAGGATTGCATTTGTTCAAGTGCGCTATTTTCCCCCAAATATTAATTTCTACATCCGAATTTTCTTTTAAACTTCGCAAGGCACTTGATTTTGTGGACAGAATCGTCCATAATTTGTTTTTGTTTGTTAAGGTGTCCTCGCCTTGACATCCGGCCCGTATCACTGATGTTTATTTTTAGACGCTCTCGTTCAACACACACACACCAAGGTCAATAATTCAGACTTTCTACACATGGAAAAGATGAAGCCCAAGGTGCAAATCACCAAGCCCACCAACCACCAACAACAAGGCGCATCAGTGAGGTGAGCTTGTGTCTTTATTTCTATGATGGACGGACCTTTTGACGGCTTTTATTGAAGAGAACATAAAATGCTAGCTTGTATTTTTTTTTTTTTTAAACGTTACATTGATATTTTTAATGAAATTCTGGGACTTTGGTTGCAGGATGTTGAATATGATGCATCTGCCAAAATGTGTGATCAGCTTACTCCTGACAGGGTTTAGCCTATGCTGATTGTGTATGTTGTAAAGCTGCCATCAATGACAATTTAGCAGGTTTTACATAAAATGTTACCTTTGTGTGAGATGCCAAAGATGTCTGTGTTTTGTTTAACTTAAGCCTTTTATCTTTTGTCTTCCTCTGAATGATTTTCAGCCCTTTATTGTTTTCTTTCCTCTGTATGCCTTACAAAGGTTAAAGCATCACTCCAGTGTTGTTGAAGTTGTATAAAGTTACTTTTCCACCATTTACAGGAATAATCTAGGCTCTCAGAGAGAACCCTCTCAACCCAAAATGAGATCTGAATACCAAGACCAGTACCAACCCCCTCAATGCTACAAGGCCACAGTCACAACCAGCACACCAAAACACCCGTACCATGCCTTGAAGGGGACTGCGGCAGATGTGAGCACCTGTAGGTAAGATCCAAAGTGTTTATCTCACCTGACGCATTACTGACAAACTCTGAAGATGTTCCTGTCTGGTGAGGCAGAATCATGACGCCTTGTGCTCACTCTCGTTCCATACAAACCAAATAATAGTGTCATTCAAGTACAACTCTCTTGTCATAACTTTGTGTTTCACAACTTTATATGTGACCCAGAAGGTGAAAAAGACTCCAACCAAGCCCCAACAACCATCGCAACCTTCTTCAAGCTTTGTTTCTGCCTTTAAGAAAAAATAAAAGCCATAAATGAAATTAAGATTATGTGGCTATTTTTATACTTACAAGCATGTCACTGATGCGCTGCAGAAGGGAAATTTTTTACAGAGGCAGTAAGACTCAGCATTCAGACCTCATGTTTTAGCATTTGACGTGATTGTGCCCTCTATCTCTACACAATAATAACTTACAATAACACAGTTGTGACAGAGTTAAGGTTGTAAAAAAGATGTGACTTTAAGACCACTTGTTTAAAACAATGTAATCTTTTATTTTATTTAATAAAGGTTTGTTTTGGGGGTTTTCATGCTTTTATTGGAGAAATAAGACAGTGGATAGTCAGAAATATGGTAGAGAGAGAGAGAGAGAGAGAGAGAGAGAGAGAGAGAGAGAGAGTGGGGTGTGCAGGGCGGAAAGGAGCCACAGGTCAGATTCTAACCTGGGCGGCGTGTGGACCACAGTCTCTGTACATGGGCACATGAACTAACCGCTAGACCACTGGCGCCCCATCTGTTTGTTTTTTTTTAAATAGTCAATAGCGAAATTTAATTAAATCTAAAGATTGTCATTTTTTAACCAAAAGCAATCACAAGAGAGAGCATCTGTGGTCCCTTCATTTTCACAGGTCTGAAAATCCTCAAGTTTTAAAGTTCATCTGGTGTTTATGTCTCTTACTGACAGAGAGCAGATGAGGTGCCATCATCTTCACTGCACAAATACATAGGCAATGTTTCAGAACCTGACTTTATCAATATGTGTAATTTAGACACGATGCACGGCTGAGTTTGATGCAAATTTCAGGTTTGGGTTTAAGTCATTGTGAAAATATAAATGTATGGCAATAAATACGAAGAAAGAATTGATGTAAACAGGCAATGCTTTTCTCAGCATGCACATTTACTTTTAAGGATGGAGGCCTGGGTTTAACGGTCACGCTTTCACAATGTTTTGATGCCATCTGCAAACTATCAGCTACCTATCGAGTAATCAGTGCCAATTCAGTGGTGAATAAAAATCTCTATTTTTGGTTTCTGGAGAGACATGCTTCAAACACAGGTTTAGTTTCTCATAAGGAACAGCAGACAGGCACTTACACTTCAAAGAGTTTTATCTAATGTGCACTTTAATTTCTCGTACTGCATATTGTTAATGCATTATTAAACCATGTCTACTGAGGACTTGTGTTTTTGTTACTGTGGACATGGTAACGAAACAAGTTAAAAGTATTGTTGGATTTCTACTTGTATCAAATAGAATTGTAAGTTTCTGCAGAGACTGACACACTTCACTGAGGACACACAGACACACACACACACACACACACACACACACACAAAAACACACACGCTCACAAACAGGATCAGAGTAAATGAACGAATCACATCACAGAGTCAAAGTGAATTAATATTACACTGTAAAAAACACTGAACTAAAGCAGGACAACACAAGGAAGATCAAGTTCATCATCAGGACCAGATGTTTCAGAGTCAGCTGATCACATCCTGATGTCTGATTGGTCCAAACAAAGAGAGACTCCAAGTCAGTTTGAATCAGACGTCCAGTTTGTGTTTTGTTCTGAAATATCTGGAGGATCTCAGCAGAGTCCAGATCACCAGAAACTAAAGGTCAGTAAAACATTTATACAAATTGAAACTTTGTTTATAATGACTGTTGTTAGATCTCCATGACGACCAAGCAGATGAAGTAATCATGAAATCATTAATTTAAAGCAGCTGTGAGCGCCCCCCTGTGGACACAGTTCAGTCTCTTTCAGAGTGAACCAGATCACCGGATCCTGATCCAGGATTTTGAATCTGGGTTATTCTGATCCGGATTACAGTCTGGTTCTGACAGACGATCATTTCAGACGCCATCTTTAAAATCTTCCATTAAACAACATTTATTACATCCCATTATAAAAGGTAAACTTTGAGTTTTATTTAATATTTTAGACTGTCTGATTGTTAAATTTGTTAGGATTTAAAAGGAAACGTCCTCACAGTTTCACAAACACAGAGACCTTCAGTCAACCTGACGGACACGGATTATCAATGTTTAAAAACAGAGAAGAAGAAGAAGAAGAAGTGAAATGAAAAGACAATGACGAGGAGGTGAAAAAAACATATCACAGTCATGTATCAGTAAACATGAAGAGAAAGGGCGGAGTCACAGTGAGATAGCACACCTGTGTCAGGGTGAGGAGGTGAGAAACAGGGCAGACACAGGAGAGACACAGGTGAGACACAGGAGAGACACAGGTGAGACACAGGTGAGACACAGGAGAGACACAGGTGAGACACAGGAGAGACACAGGAGAGACACAGGTGAGACACAGGAGAGACACAGGAGAGACACAGGAGAGACACAGGTGAGACACAGGAGAGACACAGGTGAGACACAGGAGAGACACAGGAGAGACACAGGTGAGACACAGGAGAGACACAGGAGAGACACAGGTGAGACACAGGAGAGACACAGGAGAGACACAGGTGAGACACAGGAGAGACACAGGTGAGACACAGGAGAGACACAGGAGAGACACAGGTGAGACACAGGAGAGACACAGGTGAGAGACAACAGGAGAGACACAGGTGAGACACAGGAGAGACACAGGTGAGACACAGGAGAGACACAGGAGAGACACAGGAGAGACACAGGTGAGACACAGGAGAGACACAGGACAGACACAGGTGAGACACAGGAGAGACACAGGAGAGACACAGGTGAGACACAGGAGAGACACAGGACAGACACAGGTGAGACACAGGAGAGACACAAGAGAGACACAGGTGAGACACAGGAGAGACACAGGACAGACACAGGAGAGACACACGTGAGACACAGGTGAGACACAGGAGAGACACAGGAGAGACACAGGTGAGACACAGTGAGACACAGGAGAGACACAGGAGACACAGGACAGACACAGGAGAGACACACGTGAGACACAGGTGAGACACAGGAGAGACACAGGAGAGACACAGGTGAGACACAGGAGAGACACAGGACAGACACAGGAGAGACACAGGAGAGACACAGGAGAGACACAGGACAGACACAGGAGAGACACAGGTGAGACACAGGAGAGACACAGGAGAGACACAGGAGAGACACAGGAGAGACGGTAGGAAATAAAGAGATGAAATAACTTGTCAGTGAGTATAAAACATGCAGATGATTGTAACACGTCCCTGAGACAGACACTATTAAACTATCCTCCATTAAAACAACAACATCAACACGTTAGATCTAAAGGTGTGTCAAAGTGGCAGCACAGGTGAGCTGTCTGTTATAAATAATAATCACAGGTGGCTGCAGGTTGAGTCGGGCTGCTGCTTCTTAAAATGTCTAAAAATGTTTAAAATGTATTTTAACTTCACCAGAAATATGTGAACAAAGTTTATATAAAGCAGAGAGAGCGCCCTCTGGTGTAAAACACTGTTATAACATGTTTAAATATCATAGACGCAGTCTATGATTAAGCTTTGTGTGTGTGTGAGAGAGTGTGTGTGTGTGTGTGTGTGTGTGTGTGTGTGTGTGTCAGACAGCGGAGTGCACAGGTGTCCTGTGGTGTGTGTGGGGGAGTGTGAGGAGGAGGAGGACAGGGAGTGTGAAGAAGAGGCCTCTCTCTGCAGCTCCTCCACTCTCCTCTGTAGCTCCGCCCGGAGGTAGAAGCTCCTTCAGGCTCTGATGCACCGGCACCTGAAACACACACACACACACACACACACACACACACACACACACACACACACACACACACACACACACACACACACACACACACACACACACACACACACACACACACACACACACACACACACACACACACACACACACAGAGAAATCACAGGTAAACCCCAAAAACTAAAAAGTTTGAAAAAAATTATTAATCTTTCTGTTAACATGTTGGGCAGATTTCAAAGGTCATATGGGGGTTCTACATGTGTTCTCCTGCGAGGGTTCTACCTTTGACTTCATGAGGGGGTTCTACCTGTGGTCTCATGTTGGGTTCTACATGTGTTCTCCTGTGGGGGTTCTACCTGGGGCCTCATGTGGGGGTCCTACCTGTGGTCTCATGCGAGGGTTCCAGCGGGCGTAGTAGCTGCTCCACAGCTCCAGATGTCTGGAGGACACCATCGGGTACAGGACGTGGTTCTGATAGTCCACGTAGAACGGGTTAGTGAAGTCGTCCTTTTGACTGTGGGGGGGGGGGACGGTCCAGTTACTACTCCTCACTGACTCCTTTCTGTCATATCAGCATTTATAGATTTCACTGATTTACCTGTTAATGTAGGACCACAGGGACACTGTGCAGGTCTGGACCTCCTGCACAGAAGAAGAGAGGTTAACAGTTAAACCTGCTGTCTCACCCCCCCCCCTTCCCCCCCTTCCCCCTCCCCATGTTATCATCAGAATGGTTCGTACCTTGGCCGCCCTCTCCTGCTCGCTGTTATAGAGGAATGTACCAAACAGACAGCTGTACAGGTGATCCAGCACAGTGATCAGGAACAGCTCGTTAAACTCAAAGGCTGCTGGGAACTGTAGTCACAGGACACGAGGGGACTATGAGTGACAGGTCATGAGTGTTTGAATGGAAGATAAAAGGAGGTGAACGTACCTGTCGAGTCATCTGCCACACACAGTCGATGAACTGGACGAAGAGCGGCGAGCGCTCAGAGTTAGCGTGATTCTCATCCCCGTGACCCACACGCTGAAACACACACACACACACACACACACACACACACACACACACACACACAGAGCGTCAACACAGTAGCGGGGGAGAACAGCGCTGTGTGTGTGTGTGTGTGTGTGTGTGTGTGTGTGTGTGTGTGTGTGTGTGTGTGTGTGTGTATGTGGAACTCCTGCTGTGCCGTGCTTCAATGTGACCTCACAGACTGGGACACCGATATTACACCAATCAATATGAACGTACAAAGACGTGATGAGGGCGGAGCTTAGTTAAGACTCCTACTCTTTAACATTCATTAGCAGCACCTGCGGAGAGGTGGGCCCCCTCCAGCATGGCGTCTGGCTCCCTTACGCTCAGGTGGCGCAGCGTCACAGACGAGTGATTAGTACGAGTCTGATCTCTGAAGAGTGAATTTAATATTCAGCTCAGTTAAACTAATGACATTTGTTTATTAACGTTAGATTTCCTGATTTCTCTGTGTTCGTCTTACAGCGGAGAACTTGTGTCCGAAGCTGATCCACTCCTTCTCCAGCAGCACCTGCAGACACAAGCACTCTGTCAGATAGCATAGAAGAAGAGTGCAGTATGGAGGTCTTCCTGTAGGGGCTCTAACCCACCTGAAACCCTGGCAGCGTGCGGTAGAAGCTGTCCAACATGAGCATGCTCAGAGAGGTGAGCTGAGCTGTCCTGTCCCAGCCGTCGCTGCAGTGAACCACCACCGACGTCTTCCCCGACTCCAGCTTATCTGCCACCTTGGCCGCTCCGGCTAGCAGCAGCTACAGCGCACAGGGACACGGGTAATCAGAGACAAGTCTAATCTACTGTGGTAAAGGAACAGGAAGTGGTTCTTTTACCCGGATGTACTCGAGCCAGTGCGTCTGGTGGATGTTGGAGTGCCAGTGAGCTTCGTCGATGGTCGGGTAAACGGCGTCCTTCACCTTCCTCAGAGACTCTCGGATCACGTGGATGTTCGGGATCTCTAAGAAGTTCAGCTCTACGTTCGTGTAGAAACTCTCGCTCTCGAAGCCGCCGTCCTTCGCCTGCACGAGGGGGGAGGAGTGAGTATATTTGAGATGAATTGAAACAGGATGAAGCCGCTCATGACCTCCTGCAGTCAGAGAGCAGACGCCGTTTAAAGTCCTACAGTCTGTCAGCCATGATGGCGGTCTACACAGCAAGGAGTCTGAGTCCTGTAAACAAAGATCTGCTGTGGTCGTGTCGGTGTGATGTCTAACCTCTTGTAAGTTCACGTCTTTAAACTACTTGTTGACAGACGCTGATACAGGAAACAAAGAGGCACAGGGAAGTGTCATTCACTGACCTTGTTGGTGAGCGCCACGCTGCCCTGCCGGGCGTCGAAGATGCTGAGTTTGTGCGACTGAGCGTTGGCATCCATGATGATCTGCAGGAAGCGTTCGTCCTCTTTACAGCGGCGGTCTGACGGGCCGACTAACGGCTGGCTGCAGCGCACGATGGTGGCCTGAGTCTCTGGGTGGATCCACGACAAGACCTGCAGGAGGAGCACAACCCCGTCAGGATTCATCCGCGGCAGGAAATAGTCCCTAAAACACACGTTACTCCCGTCTGGAGGAGCAGCTGTTTGAGAAAACTGGGGAGAGATAGGTCTGGAGATCAGGGGGGGGGGGGACTGACCGGTATCCTGTGTTTGACTCTGAAGGCGGCGACTCGTCTGATGTCATCATCGCTGATATTGGTGGGGATGACGAGGGTGGCGGGGTAGGTGTCACACAGCTCATAGCTGCTGTTCACTTTACTGATGGTCAGCTCTCGTTGGGGAGACCTGAAACAAACACACACAGAGTGACTGCAGGCTGATGGGGGTCCAGGTCTGCTTCATGTTGATGTTTGTGACTTCATTCAGAGACTCTTTGCTGAGGTCGATGTTTACACGATGAATTCATATGTTGAATGATTGAATAAATGTAACACTCCCAGCTCATTAGACGTTATAAACAGATTTATTTTAGATAGAAAAATTACATTAAATCTAAAGTGTATTTGTGGAAACTGATGTCAGAGTGACATCATCAGGTGAATGTTTGTGATGATGTCAGAGTGACATCATCAGGTGTGTGTTTGTGGTGTTGCAGAGTGACATCATCAGGTGTGTTTGTGTGTTTACCTGTCGTCTGTACTCTGCTGCGGGGTCGTAGACCTTCCAACCGTCCACAGGAAACAGTTCTTTGTAGAGGAAGGCGAACAGAGGCTGACAGACGAGGACACAAAGTTTTAGTATGTGTGTATGTGTGTGTGTGTGTGTGTGTGTGTGTGTGTGTGTTGTGTGTGTGTGTGTCGTGTGTGTGTGTGTGTCGTGTTCTCTGCTGCTCATGTGGTTTTAAAAAAAGAGAGGACCGGGGCTCTCTGGTGGACACTAAAGGTACTACGATCTCTGACTGGTATCAGAAACAAGCACCAGAGTTATAGAACATAGAGACGTTGATGAACAGAGTCCATGAATGTGTCGTCAGCATTAATAAGACGTGGAGAGACAAACTGACCAGGTTATGAGAGAGGGGGAAAGCGTGTTTGGAGATCAGCTCCACCACGTCTGGATGGTCCTCCTCCGTCTTATAGGCGAACCTCGGACTCCTCATGTCCTGAAGCATTCAAAACATCACAGACAAATGATTATTACAGAGAACTCTGAGAAGGTCTCCTTCATGACTCCCATGATCCTCCAACGTCCTCAGATTCAGTCTGCTACAAATACTTTCTCTGTGTGGGTGAATAAATCACAGATGGAAGACCTCATGAGGACACTTATTCAAAGTATTGTTCACGTTCTCCCCTCACAGTGAGGAGGTTCCTGGTTTGAATCCCCGTCTGTCAGGATCCTCTCTGTGTGGAGTCTGCATGTTCTCCCCGTGCATGTGTAGGGTCTCTCTGGGTAATCCGTCTTCCTCTCACAGTCCAAAGACATGCTCGTTAGGTTAACCGGTGACTCTAAATTGTCCGTAGGTGTGAATGTGAGTGTGGCTGGTTGTCTGTCTCTATATGTCAGCCCTGTGATTGGCTGGTGAACAGTCCAGGGTGTATTAAATAGATTAGAATAGATAACGGATGGATGGAGTGTGTGTGTGTGTGTGTGTGTGTGTGTTACCTTGCAGACCAGCTCCAGTCCCTTGGTGTTCTCGCCCTGGTTTGGGACGCTGATGGTTTCCTGTCTGCTGATCACACCAAGATTCACGTCCAGAACAAACTCCTGGAAACACACACACTGACTGTAACACACTACCAGCAGCTCTGTGGCAGTTCAACGTGTGTTCAGCTGTCATTCAGTTTCATTCCAAATTCATCCTTATTCAGTCTCATAAAGACCCAGGTCTGAGCAGAAAACCACCAATCACGGAGCCTGCTCCAGGTTTCTCATCCCCATGTCGTTATTTCCTCCTGTCAGCTGGTCCACTGTCAACCCAGTCTGATCTTTGTTTGTTTGGGTTCATAGCGCTGCAGATTCCAGCAGACTTGTTCAAACTCTCATGTTTTGGTCTTAACAGTCCTTTTTAAAACTGTCTTTTAGTAACAACCTGAGGGGTCTCTTACCCGGTCTGTGCCGCTGAAGTAGAGTTTGTAGTTTGTGATGGTCAGAGTGCCATTGACCAACCCGCTGAACGGACAGATATACATCACATCCTTCACTGCAAATGAAGAGGATCTCATCATCATCATCCTCACATGAGGGATGGGGGGGGGGGGGGTGTCAAACAGGTGACACTGACTCACCTGTGGTCTGGATGCTCTCTCCTGGCAGCTGAGGAATCTGGTTCTGGAACATTTTCCCCTGAGCTCCGTACCTCAGAGCGGGGAGGTTCTGCGCACACACACACACACACACACACACACGTCAGAGGGACTACAACTCCCAGCATGCACCTGCTACTACACCTCGACAAATGATGCCTGACAGAGAATCAGTGACTCATGACAATGAAGATGATGATGATGATGATGATATTTCCAGAGTAGTAATCAAAAAGTCTTTAAAGTCAAAAACTTGATATGTTTTCTTATTTTCTGTCACTGGTCAGGAGAACATGCTGAATGAAGCTGAGGGAGGAGCAGGAAGAGGAGGAAGAGGAGGAGGAAGAGGAGGAAGAAGACGAGGAGGAAGAAAAGTAGGAGCAGGAAGAAGAAGAGGAGCAGGAGGAAGAGGAGAAGGAGGAAGAGGACGAAGCTGAGGAAGGAGGAGGAGGAAGAAGAGGAGGAGCAGGAGGAAGAAGAGAAGGAGGAGGAGGAAGAAGTGGAGGAGCAGGAGGAAGAGGAGGAGGAGGAAGAAAAGGAGGAGCAGGAGGAAGAGAAGGAGGAGGAGGAAGAAGAGAAGGAGCAGGAGGAAGAGGAGGAGGAAGAAGAGGATGAGAAGGCAGAAGAGGAGGAAGAGGAGAAGGAGCAGGAGGAGGAGACATGCAGGCATACAGAGCAGGACAGAGTGAGGGGAGGAGCAGGAGGAGACATCATGCAGACAAAAGGAGGAAGAGGAGTGAATGCAGACAGAGAGACTTGCCGAAGCATTGGCAGGATGCTCAGAGTCACCGTCTCCATGGTAACAAAGCCCCTCATCCAGAGAGTCCTGCTGCAGAGAGCCAGCATGGAGGGCGAGAGAAAAAGAGACAAAGAAAGAGAGAGAGAGAGAGAAAAACAGAAAGAGAAATACAGAGAGAGAGAGAAATCAACAGAGATCCTCCTGTTTGAGTTTCGGGCTGATCTGAATACGTCTGTCACCTTGACGACGGTTCGTATTTCAAACTGTCGACACACTCAGGTGAACAGCATTGACCTGCTGCTCCCCTCATCGTGAATCTAGATATTAAAGTGAGCACACGTCTTCAAAACGATCTGTACACACAAGTACCCGTCTGTAATCTGATCTTTGCTTTACGCACACACCTGTTTGATTGACTGAAGAGAGATGTTTGACCCTCTGGTTATAAATGAATCATTAAACTGCTCGCTGTGAGAGTAACTGTGAGCTCATCAGAACTAAATCCATCAGCAGACAGTCTGACAGACGTCTTACCTGACGATTGATCCTCCTGGACACCTGCAGGTTAAACACACACAGTACACACACACACACACACACGTAAAATAGTACATCTGGTACCAGACTGGTCATGATTATTCTTGTTGTGCTGCTGAAGAGTGTACGCTTATTAGAAACACACATATAGCAGTACACACACACACACACACACACACACACACACACACACACACACGTGTGCACACACGCACGCACACACACACAGCAGCACTCTCACACAGCAGCAGCAAACACACACACGCACACGCACACAGCAGCACACACACACACACACACACACACACACACAGAGCACACACGCACACAAACACAGCAGCGCTCTCTCTCTCACACACACACACACACACACACACACACACACACACACACACACACACACACACACACACACACACACACACACACACACACACACACACACACACACACACACACACACACACACATGTTTCAGTGTCTCACCATGAAGTCCTGTCTCCTCCCGACCTGTCATACACACATACTGATCAGAAACACTGCGAGTGTGCGTGTATGACTTGTGTGACGTGTTAGTCACACATATGTGTCTGTGATTGTGTGTATATGTATATGTGTGTGTGTGTGTATGTGTGTTACCTTGCTGTCTCTGATGCTGTGTTCAGGTGTTACTGAGATCTGACTGGAGATTGTTGCTGCGATCAGCTGTTTACACCACTCCACATGAGAACCTGATGGACTGAATTTAAACACAGACAGCTGATTTATTCTTTAACAACAGATTGTTTTTATCAATTTATTATTATATTTCACAATAACTTGAACTTTTGTGTTTAAATATAAGTCGAGCATTTTGACTCGATATGAGAGACAGAGAGCACAACGACTATCATCCTCTTTTCTCTCACACATGATATCGTTATATTTCATTATGTCATCATTATTATTATTATTACTAGGATGCTAAAGCTAGCATCTGTAAACAGCAGCTAGCTTTAGCATCATCTGTAAACAGCAGCTAGCTTTAGCATCATCTGTAAACAGCAGCTAGCTTTAGCATCATCTGTAAACAGCAGCTAGCTTTAGCATCATCTGTAAACAGCAGCTAGCTTTAGCATCATCTGTAAACAGCAGCTAGCTTTAGCATCATCTGTAAACAGCAGCTAGCTTTAGCATCATCTGCTCTACATTACTGTGGTCTGTATTAGCACCAAGCTAACTGTTTGACTGAGCTAATGCTAGCTCTTAGCGCTGTGTTTATTGTTCTGTTGAACATTAAACCTGCTCTCTGTTGTCATACACAGATATGCTTTACAAAGCTTCCAGTCTTTAGTTTATTTCCATGTAGCTTCTTCACACCAAACTCCAGTCACAATAAGACAGTTTGTGTCTGCAGGAACAGACCGGAACAGACCGGAGAACCCGTCTTTAAAGAAGTAATACTGATGAAACATGTCCTGATATGTTTATTACATTAAAGCAGAATTAAAGATAACATCTTGTTGATTAAGACAGCAATGTGTTTTATATTTTTAAGGAACTCAAACTTTGTGGAAAAGCAAGACCGAGGTTGATGTGGACATTTTCAGGCAGGTGTTGGACACTTCCGGTTAGCTAGCTAACACAGTGCCTCGCTCACCTTTCCGGGGTTTCTCCGGCTGCTGCTCCAGAGGTCGGTGAGCCCCACAGCTTTCTGTTCGGCCCTGCTCCATCCGACCCCCCGGGAGCTCCGGCGTGCTTCTCCATCACCAGCCGGAGGGATGCTCTCTGTACGGGTCACTCAGAGAGGGAGAGGGGGGGGCGGGGGGGGGGTCTACTAGGAGATGGAGGTTAGATTATTAAAGCTGCTCTTTGTTCTTGTCACACACGGATCAGTCTGTCTGTCTGTCTGCATGTGTGTTTATCAGCCTGTCGGTCTAAAAAACGTGTCTACAGGAAGCGGACTCTGTGGTTTCCTATGTCAGGCTGTTTGTGCTTCCTCCTCTGCATCTCCTTTTCAGAGGCTCCGCCTGTCTACAGTGATGAGAGTATGAGGAGGAGGAGGAGGAGGAGGATAAGAGGAGAGGAGAGGAGGAAGGAGAGGATGATAAGAGGAGAGGAGGAGGAGGAGAGGAGAGGAGGAAGGAGAGGATGATAAGAGGAGAGGAGGAGGAGGAGGAGGAGGAGGGGATGATAAGAGGAGAGGAGGAGGAGGAGAGGATGATAAGAGGAGAGGAGGAGGAGGAGGAGGAGGAGAGGATGATAAGAGGAGAGAGGAGGAGGAGGAGGAGGATGGAGGAGGAGGAGGAGAGGATGATAAGAGGAGAGTAGGAGGAGGAGAGGAGAGGAGGAAGAGGAGGAAAGGATGGAGGAGGAGGAGAGGAGGAGGAAAGGATGGAGGATAAGAAGAGGAGAGGAGGAGATGATAAGAGGAGAGGAGGAGGAGAGGAGAGGATGATAAGAGGAGAGGAGGAGGAGAGGATGATAAGAGGAGAGGAGGAGGAGAGGATGATAAGAGGAGGAGGAGGAGAGGATGATGAGAGGAGAGGAGGAAGGAGAGGGAGAGGAGGAAGAGAGGAGGAAAGGATGGAGGATGAGAAGAGGAGAGGAGGAAGGAGAGGATGGGGATGAGGAGAGGAGGATGGAGAGATTGAGAAGAGGAGGGGAGGAGGAGGAAAGGATGGATGATAAGAGGAGAGGAGGAAGGAGAGGATGAGGAGAGGATGAGGAAAGGATGGAGGATGAGGAGAGGAGGAGGAAAGGATGGATGATAAGGAGAGGATGATAAGAGGAGAGGAGGAGGATGAGGATGAGGAGGAGGAAAGGATGGAGGATGAGAAGAGGAGAGGAGGAGGAAAGGATGGAGGAGGAGAGGAGGAAGGAGAGGATGAGGAGAGGATGGAGGATGAGAAGAGGAGAGGATGGAGGATGAGAAGAGGAGAGGAGGAGGGGAGGAGGAGGAAAGGATGGATGATAAGGAGAGGAGGAGGAAAGGATGGAGGATGAGGAGAGGAGGAAGGAGAGGATGAGGAGAGGATGAGAAGAGGAGAACAGGAAGGAGAGGATGGAGGATGAGGAGAGGAGGAAGGAGAGGATGAGAAGAGGAGGGGAGGAGGAGGAAAGGATGGAGGATGAGGAGAGGAGGAAGGAGAGGATGGGGAAAGGGGGAAGGAGAGGATTAGAAGAGGATGGAGGAAGGAGAGGATGAGACGAGGTGAGGAGGAAGGAGAAGAGGATGGAGGATGAGGAGTGGACAGGAGGAAGCAGGAGAGCATGTGGGATGGACCCCTCTGATGCTCCTGATGTGCCATGCTCAGCTGGTCCAGGTCACATCAGTCTCTGATACATCAACTGTCAGTTTCAGTTTCTCCTCCACATGTGTCTGTGAGGAGATGTGATGAATATAAAGGAGTTTAAAACACCAAAACGTGTTTAATAAAAATCTTTATTCTTCTGAATCCAGACTTCCTGGAAGTTGGACGTTTTGCAGAAAATATTTACACAAATCCAATGAGATTGATGACTTTAAAGGTCCTATATGTAACTTTTAACATATATAAATTGTGTTTATCGCCCATTAATAAGTGAACGGTTAACCGATTTGAAAAAGTAGATGTTCACTGTCTATCTGTGTTGCCTGTATACAATTTGTACTTGGGTCGAATTTTCTGCGAAAACTCCAGGAAGTGACTTTTCATGTGTGTTCTCGACGTCCTCCTCACTCCGCTTACAGAGCTCACAGAAGTGCCTGACTGTCGTAGGATGGAGAGTGAATCTAATATGGAATCTGTTAGTACAAATAAACGACCGGCCTCTAGCACAACACAGACTCCTTCACAGACTTTCACATGTGTATGTCCACTTACCTCCTCTGTAAACATTATGCTGCCAAGTATCAGCGAGAGCGAGCAATATGTTACTGGTACAGTACGCTTAACAGCCTGCAGTGTCACTATAACGTGGTATTAAGTCACATAGAGCTCCTTTAACAACTCTTTATGGACGGATAATCCCGCTCTTCCTTTTTCTTTGATGACTTCATTGACAAACTTTGGTTTCACACCATAATGCTGCAACACTTAGCTACATTTTGAGTCACTGCTATGGTTTAAAGTTTGTTAGCCCTCAGGGGACCCCTACTGGTCTTGGACCCAAACAGTCACCTGCCCTGCCTGTTGACAAGCAGCGCCTCTGTTGGACCTAAACGGTTCAAATGGCAATAATCCCGCCCTGTAAATAAAGATGAGGATAACATGCTGATACAGAAAGACAGGAGCTCCACAACATGTTGAAGAAATGAAGAAAGCACAGAGCCAGAAATCCTTAAATTAATTTAATCAGTAATATTTACACATCAGGAGCCATCCAACAGACTGGAGAGGATAAAACAGGATTCAAAGAAATATGTCTGAAATGTTTTCTCTGTTCTTCTTCCCTTGTTAATGCCAAAAGATCCCCAAACACATTTCATGTGTATCTATAAAAGCAGGCTAAATTATGACACTAAAGCCCTCAAACAACCCCACCCCTCGCCCGACATGAAAGAAAGAGTCAAAGTGAAACAAAGACGGAGAAACTTCTCACATCATCTCGTCTGATCCACAAACATCCTCCAGACGAGTGTCCGTCTTTTCATCCCAAATCAAAGGAAACACACGAACACTAACATAAACCGACCATTTCTGCAAGACGTCACACGTTCCTTTTTATAAAACTGGAAGATTGTACACTACAGAAAATAATTGTATTTTACAACAATAGAACTTTAGGCAGTAAAATAGGTTTTAATTGAGGTAATTACATCATGGTTCTTGTACAGAGTATAAAATAAAAAAAATAGATTTATCTCTTTTATTCCCTAAAAACATCCGACAGACGCACGCTTCTCGTGTGGCGGTCGCTTCTTTTTGTCGCTGTCCTTTCATCAAAAAACCTCCTTAAACCAGATCAAACTTCTTACATCGACGCAGAATCCGTTTGGTAGAACCCGTTAGATCACCTCCACCTGCTCGCTCTGTGACACCCAGGCTCGAGTCGAGTTTGAGTTAAATCGTCGAGTAGAACGTCTAAATACCAAAAGTTCACTTCTTTCTTTTTCCAACAAAGACTCAGGGACAGCTGCCGGCCGATCCTTGGAATAACACTTGTATAAAAGACACCTCGTGTTCATCGACTTTGGCGCCCCTTACGGTTTAGGATTGCCAGGATACCAGAATTTTAGAGTTTGATGTGATGCTAGTAAAAATGTAATTACACTGAAACCTGTTTGGTACAACAGCAATACGAGTAGAAGTCCTAGACCCCTGATGTTGGGTTATTTATACAAACTCTTGCACACCAGGAGTACGTTGGCTACCATTGCTCACCAACGTTTAGCCATTTCCAGAGAGGTGAACGCGTTAAAACAAGTCCCTGACACCTTTAAAATCCTTCAACTGAAATCACTCTGGACGTTTTCCCTCTCCGTGACAGTCGGTCATCTGAGTCCAAACCAATCATGTATAAAGAGAAAATAAATCGATGACAAATAGAGAACGGAAGGATTGAAGCAGCTGAGGGACATTCAGTTTTCTACGTGAACAATTATTTTGCGCACTCTCCGCCGTGTGCCGACGTTTTTACTTCCACAAGAGTCCGTATCAAAGACTGTCGGCTGGAAAAACTCAGATCGTTCAAAGTGCTCTAAAAGGCTGCCAGCCAGGTGATCTCAGAAGAGTGCTTTGGAGTATTTTCATGCATTAGTCTGCAGCTGACCCCGGGTCTTCTCAACGTAGGTCTTAGGCGAACATCCGCCACACACTAAATGTTACGACCTTTAGCCGGAGTCTTTCTTTGGGACTGTGAACCAGCGAGCAGTCGACCTCAAACATGACTTAGACCAAGGCGGAGAAAGTCTCTATCTGCAGAGGTGGAGGTGATTCTAACAAGAATCAAGGCACAAATCTGGACAAGACCTGACACACTGTGAAGAATGACTTATTGCACCTCGTTCAAATGGAAACAGACACACTGCTCGCACAACACCTGCACAAACTGCCTCCAACTTCCTGAAAACACAGCGCGGTGAACACACTGAAAAGTCCGAGCTTCACTCTGAGAGGATGCTTTTGTAGGAAGTCAAGGAATCTGTAGAGGCGCAAACTGGGGAGGAGATACTTTGGGTATCAAGGATTCCAGAAGTTAGTTCCCTCCCAAAGAACTTCTAGGTGGTCCCATTCAATCAGCAACCCCCTTTAAGACCTGGGCTGACAATGCCTTATCAAGGTCAGGGCCTCAGCATGAAGGGAACCAAAGATCCAGACTTTGATCCACTCAACCCAGAGTCAGGACCAAGATTTGCTGCCATGCTTTGACACGTTTACACGGAGTGCCAAAGCAAGTTCAGCAAGTCCTCACACTCTGCAGCTCTACAAAGCAACACACCTTTGAAGTGCTCGTCACTTCTTTGAAAGAAAGAGTGAAATAAGAAAGGGATGATTTAGATTTTTTTGGGTGCAGATTGAAAAGCTTCACATGATGGTAATAATTTCATGGTGTTCTTGTTCTTTGGAGACTTCTAGGTTTATCGACCCTGTTTAAGTTTGAAGTTCCACACAGATGGGGGGGGGGAGCTATCCATTTGTGTATTCTTCTTACATTCTCTAGTGATGGTCTGCCAGGTGGCCAACATGGTGCAGGTATCTCTTACAGTACTCTGTTAATGAAGTGACCCAGGCTGGATTAAAGCGCCTCCTGAGGACCGACTGCCTGGTTTTAGGGGAACGTTACGAAGACTTCCGTGGACAGGCTGGTTTTAGGGGAATTTTACGAAGACTTCTATGGACTGGCTGGTTTTACGGGGAACTTTACGGGACTTCTGTGGACAAGCCGGTTTTAGGGGAACTCTACAGGGACACCAATCAGCTTTATTTATAAGCCCCCTACCAAAATCCCGACCTGCATGTTGCCAATTGAGAAAGTTTAAATATTTCCTGCAATATTTGATCATTAAAAACAATAAAAGACCGAATATTGTGTGTGTAGTACTTGTTCTTTGTGGCTGTGGTATCAACCAGGTATTAAAATATTTTGATTTCTACAAGAAACATATTGAAGTTTAAAATTCTGGTATGGTGACGACCCCTGTGGGGAGGTCAGCTGATGCTCCAGTACGACTTATTATCGGAGGATAAATGTATCTAAAGATTTCCAAATGTCAGTAAACCAGTTTAAAGTGTTGAAAATATGTTTCCTGTGAGTTCTCTTGTGATTGTTACAGAATCAAGAGACCTCAGACAACCGAAGAAGCGGTTGGAATCACGTTCCCTTCACAAAGCCGGTAACTGGAGCCAGTTGCAAACTTTTAGAGTTCAGGTGGAAAAGTCAAATAAACTGTTGCACACTAAACCAAGAGCTGTCCGAAAGGCACCGTGCTTCAGATCACCTGTGAGCATCCTGGGATGGAGGACAGATTATCTGCCGAAGAGGGAACAGAGGGTATGTGAGAGGGATGGAGAACCCTGTCCCGGTCTGTAAGGCCATCATTGACTGACTGTGTTCAGGATCAGAGGCCAGCACCACTTCATTCCCTTACACGCGCTTCAGCACCTGAAGATAAAGTTCTAATTCTATCTAAGCTTTGTTCATATTAATCACTGATTATTGTAACCTCATGAGAACTGTTTGAGTCTGTCAGAGGAACTGACACAAGTCTCACAGACACCGCCTCCGCCGCCACATTCCAGACAGACTCAGCTCTCACCTGATCGATCTCTACATGGACCTACTCTTCATGGGCAACGACACTCAGCAGCAGTGCAGCAGGTAGCAACAGGTCTGAAGACATGTTGGTGACACACAGGACACAGGTGAGCATGTATCAGGACACGTGCAGGAGAAACGTTCAGGTTGATCTCTTTAAAGAAGCCTCGTGTGAGCTCAGACTGCAGGTAAGAAACACCTGAGTGGATTTAAACCACATGCCTTACATACATCTGGACTTCAGGATCTTTGTTTTTCTCAATGTCTGTCGGAACCTGAGAATATTCTTCCTTCAAGTTTCTTCAGAAAAACATAGATACTTAAGCCCTTCGCTGCTCGTCACTCCTCTCAAATTTCTGACTCCACCCGTCCCTCCAATGGAGACAGGATATCATGCTCTTTTTTTGAATGGAGTTTGGTTGTTATCTGATTAAACATGAGCAGACTCTCAACGCTGAGAGACTTTCAGGAAACAGTTTCATGTGAACTCACTTGAGCTTAAAATAATCAAACTTGTGCTGACTATCGGACTCGATTCAAGTTTCCCGATAATAATCGAACGTCTGGCAACGACATCGGTAACTTTGTACGCAGCTCTCCGATGCAGAAGAATGAAGAATGGAGGTTGATCATTTAGAGCGATCCCTGCAAGGTGTCCTGTGTGTCCCATGTGTGTTTGTGTGTATGTGTCTGTGTGTGTGTGTGTGTGTGTGTGTGTTGAAGCCCTTGGACATAAAGCAACTGTTCGTGTTTAAGGCTTCTTTGTTCGAGTGTGTGTAAAAAAGTGTGTTAAAGGCTGTACTGTGACATATTGCATAAATCACCATCATCATCATCAACATCATCAACATCATCATCATCATCACCATCATTATCACCATCCTCACCTCTGTGTCGTTAAAACCTCACGATCAAATCTAAATCTTATTAGCATTCTGAGTTAGCACTGCACATTAGCATGGTTAGCTCCCTGTGACACACAAACCAGAACAGGACATAAGTGCAAGAGACTGTGTGTGTGTGTGTGTGTGTGTGTGTGTGTGTGTGTGTGTGTGTGTGTGTGTGTGTGTGTGTGTGTGTGTGTGTGTGTGTGTGTGTGTGTGTGTGAGCAGCCCTCAGAGGGGAGTGTGTAGGTGTGTGTACTGCTGTGAAGGAGGGGAGGAAGGAGAGGGGGAGGTGTTGGGGCCGGGGCTGTTGGCATGGCGTGGAGAGGGGGACGAGTCAGAGAGCTGCAACTCCTCCAGCTTCTTCAAGTACTCGTCTCTGAGTGCCAACAGCTCCTTGTAGCGCTGCTCCACGGGACTCTGCTGCTGCAACACACACAAACAGGACACACGTGCATGATGTTAACTTAGTAAATTATGATAACTTGGGAAGGAAGTGACCATATTTGGACATGTGGGAGGAGCTTGAGGGGAGCGCTCCTCATACTGTCGGTTGTACTGCATGTTCCTTGTTACCTGCTGTCGCATACGGGGGTTCCAGCGGATGTAATAAGTCACCCACAGCTCTAGGTGGCGCATGCTGGCCACCGGGTACAGGACTCTGCCGGACTCAGGGGTGTAGAATGGGTTTAAATAATTCTCCATCTTACTGTTGACCAGAGACCAGAGAGACACAGTCTTCAACCGCAGCTCCTGCAGACACAGAAAGGAGAGGCCGTGAGGCGTTCACTGACACCAAGACAAAGAGGTCGATGATGATACCTTCACTGACCCCCAGGGACAGGCAGAGGGAAACAAAAGTATTTAATATGTGATTGAGGTGTGACCTGGATGTAGATCATTTATAGTTCAGTTGAGGTAAGTGTGTGGTTGAGGTGTAGTTCGTCAGGATTCGGGTGTGTCTTACGTGCTGGTCTCGTGCGCTCTCACAGTTGTAGAGAAACGTCCCAAAGCGACAGCTGTACAGGTGATCCAGGATGGTCAGCAGGAGGCGCTCATTGAACTCAAAGGCTGTGGGAAACTAAGAGGAGAGGGGAGACAAGGAGGAGAGGAGAGGAGTCATAAATCAGTAATGTATATGTGTGTATATATTTATGAGGCTAAATCAAACACCAGAGAGTAAAGATCACCATCATTAGTAAGGGTCGTGATCGTACCTGTTTGGTCATCTGCCACACACAGTCGATGAACTGAACAAAGATGGGAGATCTGTCCTGATCAGCATGGTTCTTATCTCCGTGTCCTATCCTCTGCTCACACAGAGACACACACACACACACACAGATTAATAATGAAGTGAGACTAAACTTTGATCATCCTGAAGACAAAGGATTTAAAAGTTTCTTACTGATGCGAACTTGTGTCCAAAGCTGATCCACTCTTTCTCAATCAGAACCTGAAACAACACAAACATTGGAAGGGTTCAGTAGGTCAACAGACAGTACAGTACTGTGGTGGTCTGACAGATGTGTAGATTGTGGCTGCTGGCTGCTTTGGTGGTCTGACAGATGTGTAGATTGTAGCTGCTGTGGTGGTCTGACAGGTGTGTAGATTGTAGCTTCTGTGTTGGTCTGACAGATGTGTAGATTGTAGCTGCTGTGTTGGTCTGACAGATGTGTAGATTGTAGCTGCTGTGTTGGTCTGACAGATGTGTAGATTGTAGCTGCTGTGTTGGTCTGACAGATGTGTAGATTGTAGCTGCTTTGGTGGTCTGACAGATGTGTAGATTGTAGCTTCTGTGTTGGTCTGACAGATGTGTAGATTGTGGCTGCTGTTGTGGTTGGATCTTGAGATTGTTTACACGATCAGAAGCTTTCTAACGATATAGGTCAGGAGTGATATTAATAAACATCAGCTGTGCAAATCATCATGATCAGTAGAAAATACTCCTGAGACTCTGTCAGATTCTCCCCAGGTGAAAGCTCACCGTGCTGTACAGAAACTGACCTGAAACCCTCGCAGCGTGCGGTAGTGACTGTCCAACATGAGCATGCTCAGAGAGGTGAGCTGAGCCGTCCTGTCCCAGCCGTCGCTGCAGTGAACCACCACCGAGTTTCCACTTGACACCTTATCGGCCACCTGGATGGCTCCTGACAGGACCAGCTGCAGAAACCGATGAGACTCTTTATTAAGCTGTTCATTCATACAGTCAAACATTCTTTTGAACCTGAGGGAGAAAGTTCACATTCAAACTGTAATGAGCCATTCAGCTTAAAAACATTCAGTCTATCAGCGCATCAAGGCGTCTGAAGTAGTTTGGAGTGTGATCCAGCAGAGGGCACTCTCAGCATTACTTAACCATTGCATGACCGTAACATTTTGTGAAAGAGGGCAAAACTTATTTTTCAAGAAGCTGCCAACTTATTTGTGCAACTTAGACAGTGCTCTGTGTGTTTTTAAAGCTTTACAATAACAGAGATTGTATCGTTTGAAAAACATGTGGTATCAAAAATGTGGACGGCCGTACCTTGATGTGTTCGAGCCAGTGTGTGGACTCTAAACTGGACAGCCAGTGGGACTCCTCCACGTTGGGGTAGACGATATCTTTGAGTTTCTTCAGGGACTCTCTCATCACGTGGATGTTCTGGATGTCCAGGAAGATCAGCTCTGCATTCTGATACTCGTCGCCCTCGTAGCCTCCTCCGGTCGCCTGCAGGGGGAGATGAAGAGGATCAGCTTCTGATGTACATCATGAGTAGTGGAAACATTCAGTATAAAAATGGATGAGAGGTGTGGCTTAGACATAAAACCTCACTTTATTGGCCACGGCGTTGACGTTGGGCCGGGCGTCGTAGATGGTGAGCTTGGTGGTGTCATTGGCCTCTCTGATCAGGTCGAGGTAACGCTCATCGTCTTTGTTCCTTTTACCCGACATCCCGACCAGAGGCTGACTGCAGCGCACGATCACCGCCTGGTTCTCCCTGTGGATCCACGACAGAACCTGAGGACACACGGACACACACACGCACACACACACAGAGAGAGAGAGAGAGTCACCGTTAATGTCGGGAAACTTTGAATAGCATCTTTTGTTGACGTTTCAGTCTGTTCACCCGCTGCAGACGTTACAGTCTGTTTACCGCCTGTTTACCTGCTGCAGACGTTACAGTCTGTTTACCTGCTGCAGGCGTTACAGTCTGTTTACCTGATGCAGACCTTACAGTCTGTTTACCTGATGCAGACGTTACAGCCTGTTTACCTGCTGCAGACCTTACAGTCTGTTTACCTGATGCAGACCTTACAGCCTGTTTACCTGCTGCAGACCTTACAGTCTGTTTACCTGATGCAGACAGTCATTATCTTTCCATGTTAATGAAGGGAATCTAAAATAATCTTGACTCAAACTGATCCTGGTTCAGTTTTCTCTTACCGGTATGCGTGCTCTGGACCTGAAGGCGGCGACTCTCCTCAGGTCTTCTTCTTTACTCTTAAAGGGAACAGCGAGCACGGTGGGATAGGTGTCACACAGCTCGTAGTTCTTATTGATGAACGTTATACGCCACTTATTGTTGGGTAAGCCCTGAAACACAAAGAGAGGCTCAGTCAGAGAAAAGTCCGGCTTTGTTAACGTGACACCAGTGGAACTACGAGGCTCTGCCAGTGTTTACGTTGATTTGTTTACTTATTCAGGGTTTATGCAGTGTTTTCAAGTTCAAAGATAGAGTCTGTTTCTTTGTCCTTCAAAATAAAATACAGACTTCTCCTAAAGTAAAGCTGCTCCATCGTCCCTTCTGGGCCTCCGTACATGTGTGGTGGTGACTGTGTCTGCAGAGACTCTGTCCTCTGACTGGATTTTACTGTTCTGCTTTGTACTGGTTGAAACTAGGGCCCGATCAATACGTCTTTTTTAGGTCGATAAAAATACTGATATAAAGAGAGACAAAACAATCAGATACCGATATATCTGCCGATATCTTTCGTCTACCCATCTTCAATCTGTTGATCCCTCAATTATCAAACACTCGTGGTCAAGATTTATAATGAAGAGAAGATGGTCACTCAGCTGGAAAGTAACTGACCATGTACGAGCATCACCGCTCGACTCTCTGCAGAGTGATGATGCTCCTTGTAATCCATATAGCGCCCTCTGCTGGTGACAGAGAACTGCTAGTGTAATACAATGAAGCTCAAATGAAATGATATCTGACTGGTGAATAAATCTGTAATATCAGTGCATAGCTCAGATTAAATTAGCTGATACTTATAGTCACTGGATGAGATGATATCGGCTGATATTATTGGCTGGTCGATGAATCAGTCGGGCTTCAGTTGAAGAGGAACGTTTCGGGGGGTTATTTTATTTCAGGATCCTTTGAAGAGGATTATTCAGGGAGCAGGTTGGTCCTCTCTGACCTCTTCCCACTCTCTGCCTCCATGTTTTATTCACACACCTACTCTAAACAATGACGCACCAGCTCACAGTTTAATCCTTATTATGATATTACTGCTGCTGATCCTCACCTGCCGTCTGAACTCCTCGATGGGTTTGTAGACGCTCCAGCCGTTCTCCTCGTACTTCTCCTGAGTCACGTACGCAAACAGAGGCTGGATGGACGAGAGAGAGAGGGATGGAGAGAGAGAGAGAGAAAGATAGGGCGTGAAGAGAAGCATGGTGAGGTTTTGACGTCTCACAGAAACATTTATTGCGTAGAAGAAGTCTCCTGATGGACAAACTCTGATCTGTTGTTCGTATCGTCCCTGACACTGGCGCTCGCTGCGTCTCAGTTTCCAGTCAAATGTTTCCTGCAGCTGATTTTAAAGATCTGTGACAACTAATTAAACTCTTGTCGACTCTTTGTGTTCCTCTGAGACGGCAGCAGTAACGCGGACAAACGGGAGCATAAGTGGAGATGAGAATGAAGGTTTTCTCAGAAATGTTTGGTCTCACACGGCGTGCAGATGGAGCTGCAGCGTGGGCGCTGAGCTGTGTGTCACAGTGTGAGGAGGCTGCAGCTCTCATGTTTTAACATCCTGCACTAAATACTGATTCAAACTCTAACTCAGCCAGAAGCAGAATACAAATATGGATTCCTGCTTTAATTACAATCAGTACAGGCAGAGCGGCGTTCTGTTTCAATCATCTGAGACATGTTGTAGGGTCGTCATGGTAACACGACTTAAGAGTAGCTTCTAGTTCAAACATTAAAAGAATGATCGGGAAAACCACGGCGACCTCAGCACCCGATACCGGAGAGGTTCTTGTTCCTGAACAAACATGTTGGCAACGTTTTCTCCTCTGTCTCGTCACGCCGGCCTGACCACACAGACACGTTTTGATGCTACGGATCGTTACATAACAGATTAAATTGATTTAAAACACCAGGTATCAAAGTTTGTGACAACTTTGGTTCGTCGCTAGGCGTTAAATCTTCCGATAGTTTTTATTCAGTAGGTGGCAGTAGAGCAACCTGCAGCCTGCGTACACCGCCTGACATGCACATCTTAAAAATGAAACTACACGACGACACGATGCAGACTGCGAGCCCTGTGATTGGTCCACACCTCTCTCATGTCAAACATCAGGAGTCTGGTTATGTGGGGGGATAAACGTGTGTGTGTATGTGTGTAGTGAAGCTCTGTGTGCGTCTTCTTACCAGGCCGTGTGAGAGGGGGAAGGCGTGTCTGAAGAGGAGGTCAAATAGGTCTCTCCTGCTGTGACCTTCCTGCTTCAACGCAAACCTCAAGTTCCTCATGTCCTGAAGAAAAGGGAGAGAAACAGGAGAGACAAGATTTTACAACAATCAAACACACACACACACACACACACTCAGAGACACACACACACAGAGAAACACTCTCACACACACACACGCAAACACGCACACACAGAGAGACACACACAGAGAGACACACAAACACACACACACACACACAGACACACAAACACTAACACACACACACACACACACACACACACACACACAGAGGCACACAAACACTAACACACACACACACACACAGAGACACACACACAAACACACAGATACACACACACACACACACACACACACACACACACACACACAGAGACACACAAACACACACACACACACACTCCTCCTCCTCCTCCTCCTCCTCTCACACCTTGCAGGTGATATCCAGGCCATACGAGTTCTCTCCTCTGCTTGAAGCCCCGCCCATCTTCTCCACCCGGCTGATGGCGCCCAGAGGAACGTCCAACATGACGGCAACGTCCTGCAGAGAACAGTGGTGATGATGTGAACATGTTACTGGTGTGTGATCGTATTACATGATTTATTACTGAGGCGAACACTCACGGCGTCCGAGCTCTTGAAGTAGAGTCTGAAGTTGGTGATCAACACTTTTCCTTTTACTGCTGCGTTGTAAGGACACATGTACATGACGTCTTTATCTGCACACACACAGATCATCAGTTAAACATCAGCAGCTCTGACACACACAGATCATCACTGTAACTCTGCTGCTTCCTCTCCTCTCAGCAGCTTCGTGTGTTTGCTGACGGAGAGTTCTGTGAGAGCAGCTCACGTGCAGAGAAGAGGAAGAAGAGGCGTGCAGAGAGTGTGGCTAAAAATACAAGCATGAGTACATCTGTGAACGGCCCTCTCCTCTGAGAGGTTCTAAGACTAAAAGAGACACGAAGAAGCTGCTCCACGGTGGTGACTGTGTCTGCAGAGACCCTGGCCCTTTCCAAATTGTCACAGTTCAGTAGGCAGTACGTACTATTCAGTATGGAGTTTCAGTATACTGAACTTTCGTGGTCATTCAATATGCATATTTTGGGTCCACCTCAGTATACTGAACATTTCAGTATGGATACTAACTTCCGGGTTTCATGCAGTATGGATCGAATGCATGCTTTCAGGAAATGAATTGTATTTTATCACCCACAATGCTGTGCGAAATTAAACGTAAATTGTCCTCCAAATCAAAACAAACGAGCGTGGATTAATTGAATACATTTTTAATCTAGAGTCAAAGTCCCGACTGAAATCACTACTTTAAATTAACAACAGAAAATATAACAAATATCTGCATTATTATAAAACCTTTCCCCCTCTATTTAAATAATAATTTCACTATTTAAATGCGTCTTTATTGGTTTATTTTATATTCTGTATATTACTGTCTTTCATTAGTACTGTCCTTTATGTACTGTATGTTATTTAGTTATTTAATCTGTAATCTTTACTTGAGTTACATTGTGATATTGTTTTTTGTTTACCTGACTGTATATGCGCATTACTCTTCTTGAATAAAGATAAACAAAAAAACAACAACAAATGGGTGGATGCGGCCGGTTCGGGAAACGTAAATGACGTCACTTCCATACTGAATGAATCAGAAGAAGTAGGAACAAATATCTGCCTACAGTGTGTGCATACTGAATAGTAGGTACTAACAGTAAACAGCATGGATAGTACGTACTGCATACTGAAAGATTGAGTAGGTACTTGGCAATTCGGATACGGCCCGTGTCCTCTGACAGGAATTTACTGTTCTGGTTGACTCTGGATGTTTTTGGGCGGAGCTGGTGTGTTTCCTCCAGCCAATGACAGCGCAGCAGGTGAGATTAGGGGTGGATACACTTCAGTGATTGGATGCCATTCAAACCGGCGAATCGTCCATGTCTATAATTTGTAAAGTAAAACTTCAAGGGCGAATTACAGATATCATCTCCCACACCTCACTCAGCAGCTCAGTCCTTTGTGGCGTTGGAGGCTGTGCTGGTCGTTCTAATCCAAGGTGTGGACAGCTTTTTAAATTCAGTCGGCTCACCTCGCCACACGGTGGCCGATTCTAAACTCCATCAGAGAAACCAGCCGTCGTAGAGAGACTAATGTTCTTAGTTCAGAGCGCTTGTTGATTGGTTGTTTGTAGAAGTGGACCAGTCGTCTTCTTCCTGACGGGGATTCTAATGAATTCTAATGAAACCCCGGCAGGGTGTACGCTGTGACGTGTGATGCTGCCCCCAGAGACGGGGAGGTCATCATGCAGCGCCTCAACGTCTCTGATCAGAAATGTCAGTAAATAAAAACTTATCTCGTGTAAAAGCGCAGCACTGAACACGGACGTAAAGGGGGTAACTACCAAACTACCTGAGGTCACCAGGTGACGCTAATACTGAGATACGGCTTCAGTGAAAGAGAATGGTCTGAGAGAATCGTCTTCATTCTCAGGGAGGGTGCAGCCCTCGTGAGTGTGACTGCAGGTGATTCATCATGTGACGTCTTCTGATGTAAAGACGCTTAGAAAGAAATGCGCCTCACAGTCACAACACTCACCTATGATCCTCTCCTCTCCTGGAAGCAGAGACACGTCCGACAGCAGCTCCATCTTCAGAGACTCTCTGGACGTCTGAAACACACACAAACACACACACAGATTCATTTAAAGAGACAGTGAAGGCTCTCAGCTTCATGTTTGTACTTGGAGCAGGTTTGTGTGAGCAAGCGGAGGTCAGAGGTCAGGTGAAACAGCATCACTGAGACCCTGAGGGTTAAAGGAGCGAGGAGACTAAAGCTCTTCATCATCCTCTACAGGTTAATTCCATTTATTCCCGTCTCCGCTGTTCTCCAGGTGTCCGCTGTGGCCTCTCCTTCTTTTTTTAAAAGTGTCAGATAATGGGGTCACATTCTGAACGGTAAAGTTCAATCAGTAAGATGTGTAGTGAGTGAAATGATAAAGTGACCTTACTATATGATCAGACATTAAGGAAACATGTTATGTTGATTCTGATCCTGAATGCTCTGGATTTGTTCAGAAGGCGGTTTTAAGGCACCCCCACACGGCCGTTTTGGACACCCCTCAATTTGCCAGATATGAGAGCAGTTATCAGGTCAACAGGTGTTGCAGTGATGGAAGCGGGCAAGAGAAGTGGTTCAGATAGAAGTGATTGTACCCGACCTAAAAAGCCTCTGCATGTTTCTAATAAGCTCCACGAGCAGAAACGTGCTCAAACTAGGATCAATATTAGAGATGCTTTTGAAAAATGGAGAGAGGTTAGAACACAGAAAGGTTTACAGACTGATGCAGAGCTGGATAAACACTGAAGCTTCAGTGTCCACCACATGGCAACCTACGTGAGCATCGACTCTAGAGAGGAGGGGGCGGGGGGAGACAGCTCTCTACAATGTTTAGAATTTAGACCCAGTATCCATTTTAAACACTAGGGGTCAGAGTTAGATATATATTGATGTCTGATCTCCAGGTGCATCAACAGATGAACTCTGAAAACAGCACAGATATGATGTAGCATATTCCACACTGAGTGAACTTACACTGGAGATGCGTGTGTCCAAGGCGTTGGAGTTATAGACGGAGACTGGTGAGGCCATCGCTCAGGGAGGGGGGCTTCACAGGCTGAGAGATAGAGAGAGAGAGTTAATAGGGTGGATCAGCAGTGAATATCCAACTCCAGATTAAATCCAAAGATTTGTTATCAGCACAACACGGCAGGTATCAGAGTGTTCTCAGTGTTCACACGTTGAGGAGTGTAACGCTGCAGGTCACACACGTTAACACTCTCACTAAAGCTCCTCACTCTGACTCAGGATGTTTCCATCTGTGTCCTCACATCAGCTCTCCCAGACTTTAACAGACATTTAATCAGAAAGCGGGGAGGAGACACTTGGGGTGAAGCCGCCTGCGTTCACACCAAGCAGCAACCTGTCGAAAAATGAAGTCGACGTTGAAGTGTAAAATCCTGCAGTTTGTCGAGTGTCCACTAGAGGCTGGCTGCAGAAGCACAGGAAGTCACATACACACCCATTCTAAGGGCGCGGTCACACTGGCCATCTGTACCGTGCTGTACTCAAGCACGATTGCCCCCCCCCGCTGCGCCATTCCCACGCCGGCCGGCACGGCCCGCAGTCATACTGGCCAGGACTAACTGTGCCCAAGCACGATTACCTCTTGTACATAAAGTTGTAATACAACACATCACGTTTTATGTTATTATGAAGCATGCTCAGTTTACAAACAGGCGGATGTCTGTACATCAGAGAAAAACACAGAGCATGACAGCTACTTTACTGACTTTGTGGCTATTTTTAGGCCATTTTTTTCAGACACAGCAATAAAAAAATAAAAAAATAAAATAGACACGCGGCTAAGCCGCGCAGACGCCCGCACATCAGAGAACAACACAGACAACATGACAGCTACTTTGTGGCTTATATTGAGTCATGAGTCAGATACAGCCATGAAACTCTGGATTTCTCCATAATGAAGGCTGTCAGGGTTGTGTACCCGCGTGCTTTTGCTTGTGCATGAAGTGTACCGTGCTGAAGCACACCTCTCCGTTGTGTGCCAAAGCCAAGGTCTGCTTGGGCACGGTACGGCTGGCCAGTGAGACTGCGCCCTAAAAGCCTGTTTTTACAGCAGAGATTAACATGTTTACAGCCTGGTCAATAAACCAAATAGGTCTGATTATCTCATGTCTTGATCGGCACAGACTGTACGGGGGTGAATGTTTTGATAACTCATCAGTTTTGATTTTGAGTTCGCATTTCCAGCATGGAGACCGCCATTGATGGGACTCTAGCGCCCCCTGCAGGTGACGGGCGACCTCACTTAGGCGTCATTAATATTTACAATCTGAGTTCACACATGAAGCTCCTCGCGATGATCTCAGGACGTGTTCATCATCAGCTCTACGTTGGTTACATTAACAAACTACCCCTCGTCTCTGACTGGAGGAGCCAACAGGTGAGTGACCGTCAGGTGAGTGACAGGTGTGCAGTGTGCATATGGGAGACAGCACAGCTCAGGTAACTCAACACTGAATACGAGATGAATATATTATTTACAGACTTGTCAAATCGCAAGACGACCTTTCAAAATAAAACACAGCTCAAAGTTGTGAGAGAAAGGGGGACAATGTACAGCAAAGGCCGAGGTCAGATTCGAACCCACGGCCGTTGAGAAGAGGACTACAGCCTCCGTACATGGGGCACGCACCACAACCGCAAGGCCATCAGCGCCCTGATCACTTTAAACATTCTCATCTGGCTCAGTCTCTCTTTGAAGACGTTCAGACTGAACTGTAAGACGTGTCCACCAATCGTCTCCATGAGGACGGTGAGACAGGGCTGCTCGATGATGTCAGAAAACCTAAACAATCAGGATTATAACCGTCCTCAAATAAGAAAATAAACGTGTCAGACTTATTGAAGTTTAATCTCTGGATCTCATGACTTCTGAGATTTCAAACTAAAGTTTCCTCACTTTCACTTCTCTCTGTGTGTGTGTGTGTGTGTGTGTGTGTGTGTGTGTGTGTGTGTGTGTGTGTGTGTGTGTGTGTGTGTGTGTGTGTGTGTGTGTGTGTCACAGCCTGCTGCATATTTTCACTTTCTCTCGTATTCAGATAGGTAGGCTACATGTGACAGGCGTGTCAGAGGAAACTTTTTAACTTATAAATAAATCACCCAGGAGGTACAGGAGGGAGGAGTCCATGAAAAAATGCAAATAAACGATAAATGATCGAATGTCAGGAGTCTAGGACTGCTGTTTCTGTTGCCATGGTAACCAACAGGTGTCAATATAATTGTATTTGTATTAAAATCACATCAAAGATTAAGATCCAGGTACTGTGACACTCTAACATTTCAGACAGATTTATTTTAAACCAATCACAGCTCTGTTACCAGTTACTCAACCTGCACACACCTGACTGTACCTGAGAGATGACGTGATAAAACCGGGATATGAGGTGTTGATAAAGCCCGATCATAGCCAGGTGAACACCTGTTTACACAGGTACAGGATCATTCAGGGTGTAGCACTTAGCTGTGTGTTGACAGCAGCTCCTCGGTGTGAACATAAACACAGAAATACCGTCTTTAAACCTCTTCCACTTCACACAACACAGTCTGGTATCTAACCCGGGTCCGTCTCCGAACCCGTCCACACAGAGCAGGATGAAGCAGGCTGACCCGGGACAAAGCTGACCCGGGACAAAGCTGCTCCTGGAGCCTGAACTGAACTTTTCCAACTCCTCCATTCCAGCAGCTGTGGAGCCGCACCAGGAAACAGCGGAGGCCTACACGCTACGAAAGCTCGTTCCCGCCGAAAAACGGGCTCGTTAAACCCCGAAGAGGACCGAAATATCCGGTAAACCCCCCCGAACACCCCCTGCTGTGACCTCGGGAAGCCTCGCGGAGGCCAAATGTCGGAACTTACCCGCAAAGTGCGATTCTCCCGTGGCTGAATGTCGATCTGTTTCCCTCAAGCCTCAGCAGGAACTTACTCCGCGTCACGTGCCGGACTGTCAGGGCGCGGATTGGCTGCTTGTCAAGCTGGAGTTCGCATTGTTTCCTGGGAAAAATGTAGTTTTTTAAGTAAGCGGCCGTGGTTCCTGAAATGGATCAGAAAAGCGCTGTTCTTGTTTTAAATTAAAATAAGTTTATTTGTTTGGTAATTTTTATGATGATAATTTTACGAAATTATCTGCTCTAATTTTTTATTCTGCTCTAACATTTTTTAATGAATATGTGACTCAAGGAGAGAAGCACAATCTTTGATGTTTTTGTTAAATCTTATCAGCTTTGAGTTTCAGTCCAGATAAAAAGTCACACCTTAAACCTCAACATGACTTCATTAAATTTAATAACACAACTTAAACTGCTGACCAAGTTCTCCCACAATGGATCACTCCTCTGATGGTCAATGAGGGGTTAAGAGTCTCTTCTGCATCAGGACCATCCTTCAGCCCTCCATCAATTGCCTAACCAAACATCCGGTACATTCAGGTCCACAGGGGCCTCAGACCCCTCCATAAACCACGACTGTTCATCTGGGGGAGGAGACCCCCCCCTCCCCCCCCCGAACGTTTCCCTCAGCAGACTGAAATCTTCTTTTGTGTTTTCCAATAAACCTAAGAATGTTTCATCATGTATTTCTTGTTTCCTCCTCTTCGCTGCGCTGTCGCCTCATGCAGACTCTTTTATCAGTTCATGTTTTTACATGTTTTATTCTTCATGTACTCGTGCATTCACACAGCTCTGACTCTCTCAGCTGCAGTTCTCCTTGTATCCAGCAGGGGGCAGTAAAGCCCAGCTGGTTGGTGGTGTAGTCTATTTATAGTTCATTTATCCACAAGCACTTTGCAGCTTCATATCGATTCAATCAATGAAGTGAATTCATGATGAGAACCCACATTTAATCTGTTGTTACTCTCGTTTCATAAACACAGAGGAGCTTTAGTTCTTTGTTTTTCTGTGTGCCAACATCGTTATAGGAAATGAATTTAATCCTTGAGTTTGAAGACGAGAAGCCGAGCGCTCTGATCAAAGTGTCTTGATGTTGAACAAACAAATATTAAAATAAAATAAATGAAATCAAGAAGTATGAAGTCCAGAAAATATATATTTTTTATTCTCTGCACACACACAATTATCCTGTGAAGGCTGTACAAGTTCTTTCCATAAAATAGTGATATCTGAACCTCTGAGGTGACTAGAGCAGGATGGAAACACTCTCCATGACAAAGTTTAACGTGCTCGCATGAACACCCACAGCGTGAGCTCGGGAAACGATCTCACGCTCACAGGAACTGTTATGTTTCTGCACATATCATCTGAGGGCCTCCGTAGAGAATAAAACTGTTTGAGGATTCGCAGGGATCATAACGACACGACTTCATCGTGAACACTATGACTTAATCGTGAATGACCTGACTTCATGAAGGCTACGACTTCATTGGGATAACAAAGAGGCTGAAGTGTGAGGTGAACCATGGAGAGATGATGAATGACCCAAGGGGAACGTCCGTCCTCTGAATCACAGATACCTGACTGATCGATGACACCGAGCTGCACTGAGCACGTGCAGAGACATCGACCATGCGGACAAGCGTCAGGTCGCAGCTCGGGTTTAGAAGGAGAGCCACAGGGCAGTAACAGGAGCTCTGATTGGCCTGCTGTCGTCTCAACTGTGAGCATGAACAGGTGTCAGGCTCAGCGGGGTCAAAGGTCAACAGCTGGTGAGCTCTATGTTTCTATTATTCATCAGTTTTCAGAGCGGAGAAGAATCTATGATGAGATCTTCATATGTTAAAGAGTTGAGTCCGTCACCACTTCAGGAGGAGATTTAAATGGCTAAACATCAAAGTGACACTGATGCATTGTGGGGGATTTGGTGTTCGCAGGTTGAAATTGTTTGATGTGTAACTCGTCATGTTGTTTGTAACTAACGTAATGTGTCGTCATGTTGTTTGTTTCTAGAGTAACGTGTGGTCATGTTTGTAACTAACGTAACATGTCGTCATGTTCGTAACTAAAGTAACGTGTGGTCATGTTGTTCGTAACTAACGTAACGTGTCTTCATGTTGTTCATTACTAAAGTAACGTGTGGTCATGTTGTTTGTAACTAACGTAACGTGTCGTCATGTTTGTAACTAATGTAATGTGTGGTCATGTTGTTCGTAACTAACGTAACGTGTCTTCATGTTGTTCGTTACTAAAGTAACGTGTGGTCATGTTGTTTGTAACTAACGTAACGTGTCGTCATGTTCGTAACTAATGTAACATGTGGTCATGTTGTTCATAACTAACGTAACGTGTCTTCATGTTGTTCGCTAGTAACATAACGTGTGGTCATGTTGTTCGTAACTAATGTAACGTGTGGTCATGTTGTTCGTAACTAACGTAACGTGTCTTCATGTTGTTCGCTAATAACATAACGTGTGGTCATGTTGTTCATAACTAATGTAACGTGTCTTCATGTTGTTCATAACTAATGTAACGTGTCTTCATGTTGTTCATAACTAATGTAACGTGTCTTCATGTTGTTCGTTACTAACGTAACGTGTCTTCATGTTGTTCATAACTAACGTAAAGTGTGGTCATGTTGTTCGTAACCAACGTAACATGTGGTCATGTTATTCGTAACTAACATAACATAAGGTCATGTTGTTTGTAACTACGTGACGTGTGGTCATGTTGTTCGAAACTAACGTAAAGTGTTGTTACGTTAAAGATGAAGTTTAAAAAACAAATTAAAGAAATAAAAAAGTGAACGTGTCAAACTGACTCACTGGATGTTTACATGTTTAATAGAATGAAGGTTAAGGGGGTTTTTTTAGAACAGGAAGTGGACATTTGGACAAGTAGGAGGGGCTGAAGATGAGCCAGGCTCCTCCCACTTGTCAAATATGGTCACTTCTCTAACTAAATGTGCTTACTGAAGTCATGAACACACATCTCCCCAGAGCCTGTCAATCACAGGTAGCCTTGCCCTAACTCTGCCAATCAGGTGTTCATAGTTTTCATTAGGATCGTATTAAAGTTTTTACTTTACCATCTTCATCAGATCTGAACTTTTTTATGTCATCACCTCGAGATCACCGCGCTCGTGTCAGGTGATTTAAGGTGTTACATTTCTTAAGATCTCAAGACAATATTTACTCAGAGGTACATGAAATGTCCACTCAGGGCTTCCATATAACGCAATCCTCAAACAATAAGACTTCTTAAACAATCCTCGCTCCCCGCTTGATGTTAGAATATTGCAGGTTTATATTCACTGAAATAAAAACATCCTCAGTCTGGTCATCTCTGTTTCCCCGAGAAAAGCGACCTTGAGATCTCGACTCATTAACCTCGTGATCTCGGGGTTACCACTGCAGTTCACATGGTAACGACTTTGTGTCTCGAGGTTTGGATATTTTAAATCATAACGAAAGAGAAAAGCAGCTTGTCGTCAGATCTCGATGAAACAAACTTAATGGACTCGTTATCACAGGAACACTTAATAAATGAAAAGTAAGGATATGTCCACTCTGGGCTTCCGTACATTGTGATGTTTAAAGTTAATTAATGTTAATGTGTTTCTTTATTTTAATTATCTTTATATAAAATAAATCTCTGGTGATGCAGAAAAAAGAGCGAAGTGAGATCTGACTGGAGCTGCTCTGTAGTCTCAACACGTCCCTCACACACACACACACACACACACACACACACACACAGACACACAGACACACACCCACACACACACACACACACACACACACACACAGACACACAGACACACACCACACACACACACACACACACACACACACACACACACACACACACACACACACACACACGCAGGCACGCACGCACGCACACACACACACACACACACATACACACACACACACACACACACAGATGAGGGGGAGGGCTGCGGTGATGCTGAGCGCTCCATTGAGTCCAGTATGGAGGCCTGACGTCAGCACTGGGAGAGGCGGGGCTTGTGGTTCGTGCGGAGCCTCGAGCGGATCCGAGCCGGTCTCATTCATTCCGCAACTGTTCAGCAGCTCGCGCGTCTCTCCGTCTCCATCCTCTGAGCAGCGGACAGCCAGAAGGACCTCCATCTCCACCCACCGGCCGGACACCTCCCGCGGTAAGCCCCGCTGCAGAGCGGACACAGCCGGTCACACCGACCGGAGGATGCATTGTAAGGAGCATTATGACATCCTGTGCGGGCTGAGGAGCGCGTGCGGTGCGTGCAGGCCGCCGCTTCGGAGCGTGACGCCTCCGGTCCTCCGGTCCTCCGGTCCCTGATTGTGTTTGATTATTGTGGATGGAGGCTTATGTAACGACGTTAATGTGACCTTACCGGATTATTGTGCTCATCTGATGACGACACAGCGGGAACGTTATTACAGCATCTCACACACACACACACACCAACACACACACACACCAACACACACACACACACACACACACACACACACACACTCACACACACACAGAGAGACACACACACACACAGAGACACACAGACAAACACACAGACAGACAGACACACATACACACGTACACACACACACACACACACACACACACACACACACACACACACACACGCACACACACAGAGCTTGGTTTATTATCATCAGATTAATGCTCCTTTAATTCATCATGATCACAGATCTGATCAAACATTCATCCTCTCAGTGGGTTATTTCTCTGCTGTTTATCGTTTGTGTGTGTGTGATATTGATTATTGATGGATTCGTGGTAAAGTGGAGGACGTTTTGTGAGCTCACAGCTGCAGCTATGTTCAATATCGATTGATCAGGTCTGAAGTGACTGAAGATATAAAATCAGGAGAATTGGCTGTTTTCGAAATCACATAGGCCTACTATACTACTAGTACATACTGATTTGGCCAAAATGCAGTGTACAGTATGCAGTATGCGAACAACTGCGAGATCCGCAGTATGCCAAAAATACCAGGATGTCATACTGATTCGGGAAAATTGTATCGG